TGAAAGAAAAATAAGATTCTACCGTAGATACGAATGACAATTTTTTATCGTCATCTCACGAAGACATTTATCCGCATTTATCTCAAGCACGATACTATATAACAATGTTCCTCACCTGTTAGACACTGTTTCTTCTATTCTCGATCCGTATCTGTCCAGACAATATAACCTCTAAAATCGGGACGAAGTACGTCTGAAAGATGTCTCTAAGACATCTTACCTACAAACTTCTTCAAAACGTCTCACGTCCCAATTTTAGACGTTATATTATCCGGATGGCCTTGCGAAAGGAACATACAACTCGAGACGCGAAACTCTGTGTTTTACAACACCTACTTTATTGCCGAGACTTACCGATTTTTCCCTCGACGACTTGAAAGCGCCAACGGTCCGAGCGGCCATTACAAGGACGCGCGACTTCACTCGACAGTCTCGGCCGGCTTATATCACGAAACGTTCGTCTTCGGCGGCTGTTCAATGATCGTTTCGCGATTAACGATAAACAAACGCACGGGACTCGCTTCGAGCATTCCTGACGATGAAAAGTCGAACACGATCCTCACTTTCGGCCTTGCTCAAGTCGCGGGAAACGCGAGTCTCGGATTCGCACCGCCTTACTTGGATCATCTCGTGACGTCACACGCCAGTCACGGCAATTTCACGGAGCTTTGTGGCGGTTGGAAACTCTGAACCGTGATTGCTCGGATTTATTGGTTTTTTTTGCACGGTAAGAGAGAAAGAGAGAGAAGCAGCATTGACAATGTCGGGAACGTCAAAGAGAACGAAACGGGCAATCATTTTAAGCGATCAATCGGCCTGCATAGACGCAACATATAACCTATATGCCTTGAAACTGGTCGTGCCTCATAGAAAAAAAAAAAAAAGGTGAGTTCCCGTGGAAATTCATACAGGAAAATCCAAATTCACATAAGAATCCACATGGATTGTTGACCTAGGACTTTTCTGGTCCAAATCCCGCGGAGAAATCATTGGGTTTCCATATGGATTTCCTGTATGGATTCCTGATCTTTTTTTTTTAACAGAGTACCGTTGCTCAAGACTTTCGCACGTAATAAATTTTTAGTCGTAACCGCAAGTCCGTAAGAAAACTGACCAATCGTAGTCGATTATTCTTCGATACGGTAAAGAGGATAATCAACTGTAATTGATCTATTTTCTTATAGATTTACAGTTGCGAGACTAGAAATTTGTTACGTGCAAAGTCTCTCAAGAACGTGGAGTAACATCAGTAAATGCACTAGCTTGGTCTCGACGAGACGAATCCTCCGAGATTCGGCGCTTACGTTACATTCTTTCGCGCTTCGGAAAATCTGTGCCTTTCGAATATTCAAGCTGAATTCACTTTTGTCGTTTGACGAAGTACCGTCATAGATCGGAAGTCTAGCCTGGTAAGACGGTGGCGACAAGTGAAGCTCGGCGATAATGGGAGAGCGTTGACGTTGCCGATTGCTTCGACCATCTGATACAGGCACATCCGCATTGCAGGAAAATGTAACTATACGATAAGAATTGCTTGAATTTTTTACTTCGAATTATATCTCGAGTACTTTTAACGCTTAAGATAAATACACAAGATTCTGAGATCTCGTGCGATTTTTGACAGAGACGACGAAAAACGGATGTCAAGACGGAGGATGGAGAAAGGCGAGCGTGCAAATTCATCGGACTCGTGCGCGCCGGCGATCTCCGTGCGTCACTGCAAAAAGGAAAAACAAAGGAGGCCGTCCGGCGGTGAGTCGCAGGGATTCGCCCGCGGTTGCAATATGACGAGTATATTTCGAGTATAAAAGCGGCCCCGAAGAAAGCGCCGATTCCGAGAGGGGGTCGCCGGAGACGGAGGGAGATGAGGAAGAGGGAAGAAGGCAGTGGCGTGAAGGCAAGGGTCGAAGGGGGCGATGGACGGATCTTCGGTCGCGAAAACTTGCCGAGTCGGCGTGTCGGCTCGGTACGCCAGTGAAGCGCTATGATTCGGCTCGGTCGTCGTCGGGAACCGAGGTGACTTTTGCACTGGCACTCATTAACGCGCGAGTCAAAAGACGGCGGGCGACTCGTCGTGGTGCACGCACCGAAACCGCGCGAAAAACCCCGGCTGATTGACCCCTCGTGGCTTCGCGAGCCCCTCGCGGTCGCTCTTTTACTCTCGTTTATGCCCCCGGCCGACGCGTACACAAGTCGCGCTCCACGTCCACGAAGCAGGCCGTTCGTTCTCGTTTCGATCTACTTCGCATTCCGTTTTCTTCAAAATCATGAAATGGTACGTACAACACACACACACACGCACGCGTGCGCGAACGCACGCACGCATGCACGCATTTTCTCACATCTCGTGAGGCCGTCTCGTTTCGATCGATTTAACTGCCACTCTGTTATCGAGCGTCATCAATCTCCCGCTCTCTTTCAGATTTCGTCCGATTAAATTGATTAATTTCTGATTGCCCTTATGGGAAAAGAGGAAAGTATTACTGGCTGTGATAAATTGGCCGGTAATAAATTACTGTTGCCCAGTAGTCTTATTATTCGTACAGGTAATTTATAACAGTAATTTGGATACTGGCCAATTTATCACAGCCAGTGGTCGCCTTTTTTTGCAAGGGTGATCTCTGATTAAATTTGATTGATTCGCAATTTAACTTTGTACCCCCCGTGAATAATTTCGACCTGAGACCGATGCGAGATTTTATCGATACATTCCGCGGTTGGATGGTGGTTTTAGGGACGTTGGCTGCCGCGAGAGATCGTATGCATTTTATCTATAATCGTTGCAGGGAAACGTTGCATGCATGCGTGTAGTCGTGCGAGCGTGTCGTTGCCGAAATGTATATTTCAAGAGAGAGCGCATCGAATCTTTGTCGAGAGGAGCGCGGCGGATTGGACGCGTTTGAGAGCAGAATCTCTCGGGAACAGAATTACGCGGAGTCGCAACTAAAATCTGCCCCGGACTTAATACTTTCCGTATAAATAGAAAAGACAACGTGTATTTTTAACAAGCACCACTGTGTTTGCACCGTGTGTGTGTGTGTGTGTGTGTGTGTGTGTGTGTGTGTGTGCGCGCGCGTCGGTGTCAACTCATAACTCGCTTGCTTGCGTCTGGCGCGATGAAAGAAACACGAGAGGATCCGATGAGAATTTTTCCTCCCGAATATCGAGTGTTGTCGACGAAAAGCTTGACTTTTTTCTCCGCTATTTTTTCCCGATCTTTATTCCGGACTTGGAAAGATTTGAAAATTTTCATCGGAAGTCTCGTCAGCGAAATCACGTCGTGTTATTCAATTTACGACGGCGAGATGCTCAAATGAATTAACCATCGTTCGTCAAAGCGCAATGCAAAACTTTCAACATCTGGCTATATACGACGATATAATTACGAACTGTCTATTTTAAGTGCTCTGGGCTCTCTATGCATAATTTATTCATGTGCGTCCGTGGCTGTATATCCTATTATTAAAGCCACTCTAAATACGTTGCATCTCGTCGGGCGTCGTGTACTTTTTTTTTCTCGAATCGCGCTTATACATATCGCCATTCGATAAATCAAGCGATCGTCCGATCTGCGATATTCGCGTGCGATTTGCAAAGCGGAAATATTCCAACTATCTCCCGATACGTAATCCGTGGAGAGCAGAGTGGAGGACGATAATAACCAACGCGTTTTAGCGTTCCCCCGTTTAGATTCACCGCGCGATGGTAGAAATATTCCGCGTTCTAGGCTATTATTATTTACACGCAGAAATGCCCGGCGACGTTGGATCTCTCGGTCCCCGAATCGAGTAACCAGTAAGAAGAATGAAAAGAAGTTGGAAAAGTTCTCTGGCGCGGAGGAAGATGCTGCTCGGATGTATTATATGCTGAGTGGGGTCGTTTATAAATAGGCGTTTAAACTTAAATTATGCCCTCTAGCGAAGGGAGTCGCTCTCGCGAGCGGTCAAAATTTTATAAGCGCTTTGCACCTTAATATAGTCGAAGGATATCGGAACAAGGATATCGCCGAGACATTGAACCATAGAATATAATTTCTCCTTTTTTCCATATGATCGGGAATCGTAATTGAAATTGAAAATTCGCGCGCATGTGTGAATCGTCGCGGGAAGCACTGTGCGTGAAGTAATTGACCTTTGATTTCGGATCGTTTCTTATTCCGAATTAACCACGCTTCTTTTCACCACGATGGAACAAATTAAACTATTCTTCTAAGAAATATTACGAAGTACGTTTCATTTATTAGCGGCGGAAAGTGACGAGTTTTCTTATAAACAAAACAGAGGTCACAGATTCGAGTGTCACAGTGTGGAGCATTATCGTCAGGCGCTTCCGCCGAACTTTTTATCTCATCACGGAAAATTCTTCATTTTTCAGCGTATAAGATTACAGTACGAAGACACTGTGTCACGATGTCTGCGCTTGAAACCGCCCAAACGTGCGTTAATAAGCGCTACCAAGCTTCCCTGACGTACCCCTGTACATAGACGAGCGTCGATAGACTCCGCGATCCACGCTCGTGTGACGCGCTGAGCAATTAATGTCAACGCGATCAATAATTCATTGAAAACGCAGCACGGTAAACCTATATGAAAGTAAATAGCATCGTCCGCGTGTGACCGCCGGCGAAGCGAGGAGCGCGAACGTATGCGTAATGCGAACGGACAAAAGAAGAACCGACCGTCGCACGGTAGACCGATCTTCGAAACGATCCTCTCTCTTTCTCTCTCTCTTATCCACGACATCGACGGGAGGGTATCGTGTGCACTTCACCTGTCTCCTGCGCCTACCCGTTATGCGGAACTTTGACGTGCGTACGCCCGCGCGATACGATAAAAGAACGCAAGATCTACGAGATAATAACCAATAATAAACGCAAAAGAGGACGTTGGCGCGGGCGCGAGAGCCGCAAGACGGAGGGAGAGGGAGTGAGAGAAAGAGAGAGAGCGACCGAGCGTAACGGCAGTGAGAGAGAGGGAGTGAGATGCATCGATCGCGCCGGCCGACGCGCTATCTAACGGTGATTTCGTGCACTGCGACTCGCGTACGGGCAGCGAGAGATCGAAAAATGGCCGTCCCACTGGCATTTGACGGGAACTTTTACGGCAGCCGCGGACACCACCTGGTCGCGACGAGAGAGTGATCCGGGCTACGGCGATCTCCGGGAGCGCCGCGCGAACGACACGGCGGTGCCAGAGGAGAATGATGGCGAGGGAGATGTGAAGAGAGAGATAGAGAGAGAGAGAGAAAGAAAAGAAAGAAAGAAAAAGAGAGAGAGAGCGAAGTGTGCGCGTTGTGCGAGGGGAGAGTCCGCCGAGAGTACGTCGCGCGGTGTGTAGCCCGCCGCCGTTAGCACCAGCTAGCAGACGACATTGTTAGTAAAAATAAAAGTACCACCGCATATTTGGATCGGGGCGGGCGTGGACGCACGCGAGAGCTATCTCTCTCTTCTCGCGGGACGTGGGGACGCGTGCGACGCGTCGACGACGTCGTCCGCAACGCGCGGATATTACGAGCCGCCGCACGCAGGGAGTGTGTGTGTATAAGGTCGCTTTCGTCGGGCTTCACGTCGATCGAGTCGGCCGTGCGCGCGCGAGATGCTCGCCCCTCGTCGTCGTCGTCGGCGGCGCCGTCGAGTCGTGAACGGTACCGCGATGAGGATCGAACGTTCCGATCGGCGATGATGATCGTGTGACGTCCGTCGGTAGCAGCAGTCGCGCGCGAGTCATCGGCTGCGTAACGATCTCTCTCTCCTCCTCCGAGGCTGCGACACGAGGGTTCGATCGCGAGCGACCGAAAGATTGCTGATATGGAGGATCGCTCGGGACAAGCAGCGAGATACGTTCGCCGCACCAGCAACACCTTTCGCTCGCACGCAATCATGGCTGCCTAGCACAGGGCGCGTATTGACTAATTTTGTCGAGTGCACCGCTTTAGGTTAAAAACCTCGTGCGTGTGTTCGTGCGTGTGTCGCATTTTGGGGGGGAGACGTGTTTTGCATTGACAACTATCCTCAGAACGGCCGTCGGCGACGTAGAACGTCGAACGTCGCGTGCGGACGGGCGGTCCGCATTGCACGCGCATATATTTATGAGGTGTCACTTGCATTTTCCAGGCCTGCGAATCACTCCGAGGGTTTGGTGTTGAGGAATGTAGGCGACGAAAGCACGGATCAAAATAATAACATAACTATGACGAGCGAGGATCTATTACAGCCCGGCCATGTGGTCAAGGAACGCTGGAAAGTCGTAAGTCGCTTGTATCCGGAGATTTTTCACGGAGGTGGCGGTGATGGTTGTCGTGTGAGCCGCAGCTCTCAATTGTGTCGTACATATGCACAGGTGAGGAAAATTGGTGGCGGTGGATTCGGCGAAATTTACGAGGGTCTCGATCTAATGACGAAGGAGCAGGTCGCGCTAAAAGTGGAGTCCGCACGGCAGCCCAAGCAGGTCCTAAAAATGGAAGTAGCTGTATTAAAAAAATTACAGGGTTAGTACAATGTAGATCAACGTTGATAAAATCTCTCTTTCCGATATCTGTGTGTCTGTGTGTGTCCGCTGAATCAAAGTAGATATTCGCTTATCAGTAGTCTCTTAGACGATCACTTAATCGCAGCGACTGTTTCAGGTAAAGACCATGTTTGCCGCTTTATCGGCTGTGGGCGTAATGATCGGTTTAACTATGTCGTAATGCAATTACAAGGGAAGAATCTAGCTGAATTGCGTAGAGCCCAACCGAGGGGTGCTTTCTCGCTCTCCACTACGCTGCGCCTTGGTCTCCAAATATTAAAAGCTATAGAAAGTATTCATCAAGTGGGCTTTCTGCATAGGGACATTAAACCTGTAAGTATATTTGTGCATATCTGCATGAACGTAATAAACAGTGTGTCATCCGATAGCTGAGCCAAGATACTTTAAAATATGTAAAATTGTTATATCTATTCCACGTATTGCAACCTATCGTTAATTTGCAATTAGAAATGTATTGGGACGTCTTGAGGTAACTTGACCGTGCAGATATGCCGTTTTTTAATTTTACAAGTAATATAACTATATATATATATATATATATATATATATATATAGGCTATGCTGCGAGATTTGCTTTCTCACGCAAAGTGTATCAGATGATCTGCGCTTTCTCCGAGTCACATATTCATACTCGGTGATGTGATTAGTCATGTAACAGCAATGTCGTGTCAGCATGGTCTTTGTCAAGGCGTGACTTGCCGTAATCTGAGGGAGTGCTTCTGTATTCTGTTCACAGTCAAACTTTTCGATTGGTCGGCACCCGTACAACGCCAGATTAGTATACATGTTAGATTTCGGTCTAGCACGACAATTCACGACCGGTACGGGAGAAGTTCGACCGCCCCGTGCTGCCGCGGGATTTAGAGGAACCGTCCGATATGCATCAGTCAATGCACACAAAAATAAGGAAATGGGTCGGCACGACGACTTGTGGTCGTTATTTTATATGCTAGTAGAATTCGTTAATGGACAACTGCCATGGCGAAAGATAAAAGATAAGGAACAAGTAAGTCCGCGCGCGAATTGCATCGACGTGCTCGCGCCGAACGTCGCGGGACAATCCCTGAAGTATCTGTAATGTTTCTCTGTGTAGGTGGGTCTCATGAAGGAGAAATACGATCATCGATTACTTCTGAAACACCTTCCATCTGATCTACGTGTCTTTTTAGAGCATATCCAGGTACACACTTGATTGAACACGGGAACACCCGAGAACTCGTCTAGAATTTTGCAATACTAAAATGTGTCCGTAAATCTTTACAGAGTTTGGAGTATGCAGATAAGCCGGATTACGGTATGTTGGCCGGTCTGTTTGAACGATGTATGAAACGTAGAGGTGTAAAGGCGAACGATCCCTACGATTGGGAGAGGCCGTTAATAGCTAATGAAGGTTTATCAACTACTAGATCATTACCTACAGTAGCTGTGCCACCGGCGCTTACCACAGCTACTACTATCAATCAGCCTTCAGCAACTATGCCAAATGTGGACACCAACAATCAAGAGAACGTAGAGCCGGACAACAGGAAGGAGTTGGATGTAAGGAAGAGAATTCGCGAGATATCGAGATTCTAACGCCCAACTTTCGCGATGTACATGTATCATTCATGCTGACGCTTGCTGGTTATTCGACAGGCCCAGCTGGATTATGAAAGTATATATAGAAGAAATAGACAACGTCCAATAGAGGGGTCGCCGGTGCCATTGTTCACAGCGGCTATCAGCAATCACGGTAGGGACAAAAATTGCAACGCCACGATACCAACAACCGATAACACGCATCAGCAGGTCGCACAGCAGGCTGTGCCGCCTCCGCCAGCCCAAGGTTAGTTCGCCAATGTCACGCCCATCTTTTTCTCCTTCTTCGTCGTACACGCGATGCAGCAGAGTAACGGTCGCGTGTTCGCAGGATCTCCGAAAAAACGACGCGCCGTCTCGATGGCGGTAGAATCTCAAGTTCCTGCGCCGGTAGAAAAGCAGGTAGATAACGAAGGGGACGCGTTGATGGCTTCCGCCCGTTCGGCATCCGAAGTTCCTCGCCTTAAAATGGTGGCAAATGCAGCGGCACCACTCAGGAAGTCAGCAAGTGGCGCTACATTTGCCCGTTTGCGTGTTGCAGCTACGCCCGAGGGAACGTCTGGTGAATTGCCAAGCCCTCGCATACAGACGGAAGTGGACGCTTCTTATTGCTCTTACGACGTAACCAATACGAAATACGTCGGCAACCAAAGTCCAGTTAGTAGCTGCGATTCTCGCGCGATGTAACGCGGATGGATCTGCCAGGGCTGCGCTCCAATATCCTACTTGTAGAGTGGCATTCAATTGACCGATCAGAGAGTCGATTGTGTATCTCGAAATTTGGAGAAAGTAATATGAAAAGTGAGTGAATTTGCTCAAGTATCGATTAGTGAAATTATAGATATGAAAAGTGAGTGAATTTGCTCAAGTATCGATTAGTGAAATTATAGATAGATTTTTATCATTCTCACTATGTATACGTTTTGAGATACACAATCGATCTCCAGGAGAAAAAAAAAAGCAAAGATTTCTTATCATGATTGGTTAATTAATGCTAATTCTATTCAAGCAAGATTTTGGAACGCAGCCTTAGTAGATTGGCAGGCCCCGACGGTTCGGTTGAATCTCACGTACACCTCGGCGTGTTTCTCGTTCTCTCAGGTGACCGAGCAACGGGAACCTCTCCGGAGAGAGCCGAGGAGAAGAGCGGATAGCCGGCAACAAGTAAGAGGCGGGCGTTCGGCGGTACGCGATTGTTCGATTACGCAATTTGCGCAAATAGATGATGACAACGTGTCCGCACTGCAGCAAGTGACGAAAGGCGGTGGTGGCTTGACCCTGGCCTCGCAGTGGAAGTCGCAGTTCGATGACTCCGAGGAGACTGACAACGAGTGGAAGGGCGAAAATCTGCAGAGTCCTGAGCACAAAGGGATCAACGTCCCGTCCGTGCCGGCGCAGGTAAACGCCTCGTTTGTTATTAACGAGATGAAGATCGGTCCGCGCAAACTCTCGGCGTGTCTAGTCGCACGGAAACGCCGACGAGCGACATGAAATTCAAACAGGTTTGCATACCGCAGGCCGCAGCCGCCAACGAGGCCACGACCACTCCGGTGGCTGCGAACGCGGATGCGAAACCCACTCAGCTGAGTTCCTCGAATACGTCAAATCAACAACAACCACCACCACCGCATCATCATCAACAACAACAGTCTGTAATCCACACGACGGCATTGTCCCGAATAAGCGAAGACTCCCCGAGGCCGACGGCGCCGCATAGATGCTTGAACATCGCGGGCATTGAAAAGTATCCGGAGCTGCAAGGAGCACTTCCACGCGCCTGGAGCGTTCCAGCGTTGGCGCCGCACGTGCGACCTCATCTGGAGGCTCCGTTGGTTCGTATCGTGTGTTTCGACATAATACGAATCACTCGTTTCCGACGAGACTCGTTTACGTGTCGTGTTATATCGTAATACCGACCTACGGCAGGTTCAGCAAGCGGCATTCGACGATTTACTGTACGAGGTTGACGTAATGAGGAACGTCGCGACCCGTTACGACGAACCGAGGCAAACTCCGCCGGTGAGAAGGTCCAGCTTACCGGCGGACGTCTTCCTTCCCGACGCGAAGTTTAACACACCGAGAGGTGAGGAGGAGGAAGAGGCAGTAGCGGGAAGACTGGAGATCAGAGTGGTAGATGCGACTGGTGGTGCTACGATTGTACAGACCAGTGCCGATAGGGAACCACTGCAAAGTACGTGTGATCCAGTCGCTTTCTCTTGTTCGTTACGCGCTAAAGGCGTATCGTCGATCGACGAATCAGTTGCGCGTTGCAGTCGCGATCGTTTCGCGCTTGTCAACTTACGCTACTCGAATTTGTAGAGAAGTTAGCGAACGGTACGGCAGGTAGTCCGGCTAGTCCCAATCCGGGACCGGAGGAGCCATCGATATATTACGACGCTACCGAGAATCGGCCAACTGCAAACGTTGCTTTGCAAAAGGAGAGTAGCATCACTACTGCCTCGACCACTGTACAAAACGTAGTACCACATCGTGATAATAAGGACAATAAGGAGAAGGAAACATCTTGTAGGACATACATCGCTCATAGTAAAATACCGATTCCCGTGAAGAGCCCAAGATGCTCGTTATCCGAGTCGACGCCCGAAACTAACACTCCGAATATCAAGGCGGGAACTGGGAGCGAAATAGAAAAATTGCCGGCGCCCGCGGCTGCAACTAAGGAAAAAGATACTAGTTAGTAAAACTAATATGATATAGTAAATTATCTTAGATGATGTCGATATATCACCCTATAGATACTTATAACTATACGTAATTGCCTCTGTGACACATGGATTGTGATAGAAATTTATATATATATATATTGTTCTTGTATAGTCTTACATATATAATGAGCGACTTTCAGTGAAGACATATTAATAAGCTTATGCTTTAACTTATAAAAGTATTACTAATGTAGATATTCACTCGATAGACGTTCGATAATTTTGAAAGCTTTATTTACACACGTTACATTGTTATCTTTAGAGGAGAGTTTTTTGTGAATTATTTAGTAACTTTACTAGTCAGAAAAACTTATCAATATGTAAGACATAACCTCACCTGAGATCATTGAAGCGGAAAATCAGTTTTTCGATATTTCTTTTCGCGATGCTTCCAAAATTTTGTTTTACGTCATTGAAGTGTGAGTTTTTCTTCAAATTCTCACGTTATAACAATTTCTTAAAACAAGAGATTAACGTTTCATCATATTGTACAAGATAGTTTGTAACGATCCAGAGCACGCTACTATGTAACAATAAAAATATGCACGAATTTTCAAAAGATTCAGAGGGAGATTCAAACATTGTTGTACGACATATCTATCGAGAGAAAAGTGGGAAGTCAGTTTCGAAATTTACAGTCCACACTTTGAAAATAAGAGAATATTATTATGTGTGAAATTAATTTGTTATATTATTTCCTCGTCATACTAACGCTCGCAAATTTTAGCTGTCAGAGGTAAACCATTGACAGTACACGTGGAAGCGCCAGCACATTACCGTCGCATGCCATTATCTGACGCTAGACCAATCATGTCACCTTTAACTTCAGCCAGTTCTGCGGAAGATGAAAATTTAACCGGATGTACGCCCGCTTTGCGCCGCCGAAGACAAAGTGAAAAGTATGTGACAGACGCTAGTCAGCTCAATCTGCAGTTCCAAAGACCGCAACACAGAACGAGACCGCAATCCGAAGTATTGCCGAGGCTCTCTCCCCGAGGTGTACCCTCGCATCTTCTACGGGAGCCAGGTAAAAAGTCCGAGGAGAGCAGTGAGAGTGATTCTAACAGTAGTGGACCACCAAGATCCGCACGTCAACCGCCACCGCCGCCTACATCATTGCCACCTCATATAGCAGAGAATAACGCTAGGTACGGCCACGTAAAAATACGTATGTGATTCTTGACCCCAAGTCACGCTTTTAAGACCCGACACACAATCCGTAAACGGAACCGCTTCTTCACACCGTTTTAACGAACGTGATTTTTGAATGTTTCTGATATTATAGATGCCGCCGTTATTGGCCCATACCGGATGCGACGGTCGTTAGCAGAGAATCGTGAGATTTGGTGTTCAGAATGACAAATAGTCTCAGTTTGTGTTAGGAACGAGGGAGAAGGCTTTACTGCTCAACCAACTGAGAGTATGTGATATCATTTTGGGGCAGCGAAAACACGCAATCTTTCTATTCAATCAATACACGCCGTCGGATACGCGGAAATTTTCAACGAGAGAGTGCATATCTGTGTACCTACGAGAAAGCAGAGAGCTAGTAACTGTTCGTTTAATGCGCGAGAATGTAGCTGTCTGTGAGTGCGTATTCGAGTAATGCCGCTTTAATTAACTGCTGAAATTTCTCTTGAGCGAATTCTTCGGGGAAGAGCAACGCCTTTCCGATCACGTCCGGGACATGAGACGCTCAACAAATTTCAATAAATTACACAAAAGCGTACGTAACGTTGCTTTCAGTGTACAAACAGTACAACAGGTTTGATCGTCCGGTCTCATTTGAAACGATCGTTTGTGAAAGATTGCTGCTTTTATATATTCACTGTTCCTCCGTTTACCAAGTTTATGTCACAGCATAAACATGTCCATCCAGTATATCTAGATTTTATGTACTATATTGTATTATTTATATATTTTGATTTTTTTTTTTTTACATCTGTGTTGAGTTTATATAATTTGGATACATTATGTGTATGTTACCAGAGCTCGATGCTTTTACGAAATTTGATAAAATCGTTTTTTGCATGGAAATGTCGGATACACCCGTAATATTTATTTTTTCATCTGTGTCGGATTTGCTAGGCGAGTTTCGTGAGATTTACGATTCTCGTTTAGCGAGCCAATACAGCAACACTGTTATCACAATGCAATTATTGTTTCAATATTTACTGTTGTACACTGAAACGTATTTTATTTGTTAAAATAATATGAATATTTTATATCTCAAGAAGAATGAGAGTACTTGGCAAATATGATTTCATTAAAATCGTACTCACCCCATTTATAAGCGTGCTTTAAATTATTAGTGATTCAGAATTGTTATCTTGGTGATGAGCATAAATCACGTAAAAGTAATTTAACGAGTTTTGTGGATAACATAAAGAAGCATATGGACAATAGATATTATTTAGCGTCGCAGGAGAAATACGACCTTAATGAAGGAGTGACAGTTCTAGTATAATTATCAAATTCGGGCCAAATGTACTAGTCCCCTTAATAGCCCGTTAACAAAATGCAATTTTGTTCGCATATATATACATGTATGCATGTATGTATGTATACATATAGGATCTCAGGTTCTACGTGCGATCTCTTTCATCTATGGATCCTTGGAGTAATTTGAATGTGATGTCAGGTATCGAGTAATTTTTTTTNTTTTTTTTTTTTTTTTTTTTTTTTTTTTTTTTTTTTTTTTTTTTTTTTAGTTTTAAGTAGAAATCCAGGGATCGTCAGGTATCAGTTGGAATTGCCAAAGTATGGAAGTAGCGAGCCTTTACTCCTCAAGTAGAAAATCTTTTTTTTTAATTTATATTTTAATTTATTTCGTGTATTTATTTTTCAATACCGTGTTTACATTTGAACATTAGACGTACTTATAGAATAGAATGTTAGAAAGTTGTGAAATTTCCCCCTAGGAAGAAAGAACATCTCAAATTTGCTGGAGGAATCTGTAGATAAAAGAGAGTACGGAAATGATCTGAGGAACCCTGTGTATGAGCGTATGTGCGTGGGCGAAGATCGAAGGAATGTACGCGTGTGTGAAGCAAAAGAAGAACATTTTAAATAGGAACTTTCGAGTAATGTTTGTACCAAACGATGTACCAAACACAGGTTCCTTTATTCAATTATGCAGCATAAATATAGTATATATATAGATATATATACACATATATTTCAAGATGATAGAATACCATAGTGATGTACGAAACAGAGAGAAAAAAAAACATGTCGCATGAGACATAATCGTGGCAGACATTTAAACATTTCTTATGCACATAATATGAAAAAGATCGATCTAAGCACGGATGCTTTGCGAGTTTTCTTATATAAAGAATCTTGAGTGAAGTCTAGTGATGCATAAAACTAGTCAAGTAGAAATACTTATAATGTGCTATTGTTAAATCCAATTTTAAATATAAAGTCATGTCACACCTTGTATAAAATAGGAAGATTATTCTGTGCAATGATTAATATAAGATCGAGTGTAGAGGGTGTCCCGGGATCGACAAAGAGCGAGCACGTTGTGTAATTTCTTGAAAAATTTGTTGATGATTCTTTCATCCCTTTTTTAATAGGTANTATATATATATATATATATATCTTTCTCTCTCAAGATAACAACATGAATCTTCCTTGTGATCTTTGTTAAGGAATTAGGAGGCTAAAGGTTCGATAGAGGAAGAAATAATACCGCGCAATCGCTTCTTGCCAATTGCGGGACATCTTGAGTAATAATTTATAAATTAATATTATTTCTCTCGACCGTTTTGTTCGGAAGAACATTACGCGCAATAAAAGAGATATTGTATTAATAGGGAATTTATCATCGACTTATTATCGCTTATTATGTGGCAATGTCTTCGTGTAAGTGTATACGAAGTGCGGACACACGACGCGTAGGACGAATAGAAATTAAAAAAATTAAAAAAGGATCAAAATTGAATTAAATTTTGCGATATAGTTAACGATAACGTTGTGACGTACGAGATCGAGTAAGAAAAAAAACCCAAGAACAAAGGAAAATTGTATCTTTTCATGCAAGTATGACATAGACTTGTAATTGTAAAGTATTACTCGATACATGTATAATTGAAGTGAAGAAAAAAAAAAGTTCCACCGTCTTTTTTCAGAAGGAAGAGGGAGGGAGAAGAAGCGTATATAGTATCTTCTTTCTGAATTTATGTAAATAAATGGCATGTATGCATATATATGTAGATATATAGCTTATGAAAAGTGCGTATATACATATATGCATATAGATGCGTATGTACGTATTGTATGGACATTAAAACATGTAACATACAGTAATTAAGCAGAAAGCTATGATAAATGTTCAAAAAAATTTCAGAGATTAACTCATTAAAGCCCGCGCGATTTCCGAGCGACGTCGGCGCGTCTCGATCGACCGAACGGTCCGCAGCAATAAATCCCAGCTCCGAGAGCCGAAAATATTTCCAATGATTTCATTCGAGAGTCTGAATCCACACACGCGTCTGCACGCGACAGCGACGAGTGAGGGAAAGTAAACGCGATAACTGAAGTCACCATCGGGCTTTAATGAGTTAACTTGAAAACGTTGTAATCGATATAAAGGCAGGATGTATTGAATACAGAATGTGCCATCGCCACTGGGAGGTATTTGAAAGATAGAGAGGCTTTGTAACAATCAGCTTTTTCTTAGCAGAAATTACACACGAGCGGCCATTATTTAACATAACGTCTCGCAACATCTCTCAACGTTGAATATCGTAACGATTAAACAGCAAATTCAAGTTCCGCCGCAGCGCCAAGTCCACTAGAACGAAAGAAAGAAAGAAAGAAAAAAAGAGAGAGAGAGAGAGAGAGAAATTAACCGAGAAATAAAGCTGTGTAATACCGTTTAGTTGCGCTCACACGGATCTTAATGAGACCTCCGATCGCTTGTAACTTAAAGACTACTACTAATCTTCGACATTCTTAGCGTAGAAAGATCGCCGTGTGCAGACCGATGATAAGGGGGGGGGGGGNGGGGGGGGGGGGAGGGTCTGTCGTTAAAATATTTTACGACCGCGGCCGTGGTGTTCTGTATGCGGGGACTCCGAGGAAAATTATAATAGAGCGATCTCCTACGCTGAATTCGACGGACAATCACAAGCTTGTTCTCCAATTCCACGAAGAATATCGCTCTACTATATTTTTACACCTTTTTTGTATTTCTCTTTCTTTTTTTTTTACACACACACACACATATATATACTATCTATATTCTCTGCAACGTCTCGTATATGAAATTATCCAACACGTGTACTCTTACCACGATACTTGATCTTTGAACTTTGATTGCGCGCATGTATCGCGACGTTTACGTGCGCGTATGCATATGTTTTCTGTCCCAGAAAGGTGGAAAGGAATCATTCCATCCATGACTCTGTATTATAACGTATGCATTATGAAGAGGAAAAAAAAAAAGGAAAACGGGAAACAAGATAGAATTGTTTCTACCTTTACAATGTACATGTATCCGTAAATCGTTGTGTGGCGAGCTCGCGAGGGAAACATGATCTTTTCTGCTGTAATGTGTAACTGATCTTTTGCAGAAGATTTAATATATTATTGTGGCCACTTTATTAAGAGTGAGTCATGAGTGTAGTTAATAAATATAGCAAAAGTTGGCTGTAACGAACACCGCTAGAAAGAAATACTGTACTTCATATGGAGCGAAGTATAACGTAGCGAAACTTCAGTTCAGCAATTTGAAGCCCCCTCCCTTCCCCGTTTATTATATCGGCAGAAAAATGAGAGAAAAAGAAAAGGGAGAAGCGTCTCGACCACAGGATAATATGTAATTTTATAGAAAAGAAGATGAACACACAGCCGGTCAATTTCATTTCTTCGAGACAAAGTTGCGGCTCTCGGGTCGTTGTAAAACAGCTGGAGCCGCAAACCGCGAAGAAAAATGACCGAGGGAAATCTAGGTGTACTCTATGAAAACTTTATATATCGATAGATATGAATAAAAAGGAGAAATTGATTCATAGGAGAAAACAGTGAAAGGTGTGCGAGCATGCGTTTTCACATAAACTTCCTGGCGTCTCTCCGGAACTAAAAAAAAAAAGTTGGATTTATCGATTCTGTTGCAATGCATTATTTTATAGACGATCACATGCAATATACGGAGCTTTTACTTTTCGCGAGGATTTTCCCATATGTACCTTCTGAGTTGCCTTTCACACTTCCTAATGCTTTAATCCCAAAACCTGTGAAACACAGATTCGTACAAACGCATATAAACAGTGCGGGATTGTTGCTTTCTCAAAGTCGGAGGAAACGAAGGAATGGTAACTGGCTCAACAGTACGAAGATCTAGACGTGCAATTTAACATTGGATACACTTAATATGATCCGATGTTTGCAATATGTCGTTTTTATTTGTTATTAAAGTTCCTCGAGAAGGTGTACTATATATCATAGTAATCAATAATGATATCTTTGCGCGTGTAATTCGTAATAGCTACCATTTTTTTTCTCTAATTTACACATTAAACGCTTGGTATCCTTCGAGAGTACAAGAGAAGAAATAAGAATATCGACATCTAGACTATCAATATATCACAATAATTAACTGCGATTATATCGGTATTACTTCAGCTTTACAATAGCAGCAACCATAGAAAAAGATACAGAGATGCTAATTATATATATAATTGTTATTTGGGTATTGGAATATACTCTTGGACTTACCTATAAACGAAAATATAAAAAACTGTTCCTTATGACTAACGGTGCTCGCGCGGGATGTGATGTGCCTTAATAGTATAACTCACACGAGCGCATACTTGGCATTAAGCATGGTATCTTCTTTTTTCATTTTTTTTTTTTGTTAAATTTTACTGCGGCATTCGCACCTTTTCCAACTCAGACCGGCTAAAGCTTAAGTTTAAAGTAGTTTTTCTACAATAATGACTCAGTTTTGAACAAAGTTTGCTCGATGGGCTCCTTCCACGATTGATCCCAATACTGTCATCAGTATCACTCTCCGATACTAACAAATGGGATATTTTAAGGATATTAGCGAACTCCACTTTTAGAATGCGCTATGAGCCACTGTAACGTTATGTCAATATTGTCCTTTTCTTTACACGAAATACTGTAGCAACAAATCTCACGGTCCTGAATCGCAGACAGGTTCCTGGAACACGTATTGTTGGAATTTATATTTGCATGCGTGCTGCTGCGAGTATCTCGCGGCTGAATAAGCAACTCACATTCTTTCTATGAGCCCGTTTTCATCCAACGAATGAGGTAGATCCCTCTTATTGCCGAGAACCAACACTGGTATCCCCGACAATTGCGGCTTGTCCAGTAAATTGTGCAATTCATTGCGACTGGCCTCAATCTTCTCGGAATCAGCCGCGTCCACCATGTACACAATGGCGTTCACTCCTCTGCAATATCTTTCCCACATCGACCGAAACCTCGGCTGCCCACCAATGTCCCATACTTTTATAGTGACATTGCCCTTTGTTATTTTACGCATATTGAAGCCCACCGTTGGTATCATGTCTTCGCTAAATTGCCCAGACTAAATGTACACAAAAGATAACAATTATCTTTACAGATTAGTCATATTTAAATACTATGCCAAGCATTATCACTAATGACACAACAGCTGCAATTTCTAAGCAGAAATGTATATTACATGTAAAGTAAGTTTGAAAATATAATTCCATCAGCATATCAACCTTATACATATGAAATTATTTTCGCTTTAACAGTGGTATGATTTTTTTTTTTATGGAAAATTCCTTCCGTGTTTTGTGACTTTTATCTGCCAATCTGTATATTTATTTTGGATTTCAAAGTGCCACGTGTATTTATTTTTGATTTCAAAGTGCCACGTAAATAATTGCAAGATTGTGTATGTGTGTGTGAATTATTTGTGAATTGATACAACTTTCGTCACAACAACTGTTTACAGATCAAATTACCGTAGCAGAAAAATGGAATCATTGGGAGGGGGGAACAGAGGAAGGAGGGTTAAAAAAAAAAGGGGGAAGAAAAAGGTGAGGAAGAAGAGAAGAGAACGGAAACAAAGGCGGAAATATGTGGCGAGAGTCAAACAGATATTACAAACGGAGTGTGATAACACGTCGGCAATCGCGCGCTAAACCATTTGACACAAGGGCGTATACGCGGAGGCGGTTTACATTAGCGGCGGATGCGGCGTTATTTTCGGAAGATCGGTCGGGCTTCTAACCAATACGTCAATGAGACGTCAGATTTCCTCTCGATCTCTACGTCCCCGTCGATGATAACAAAAACGGTGTCGTCGGCGTTTTCGCCCATATGACTCGCGCGAGGAGAAGCTGACAGATCTATGAGTCACGTACCGCTATGACATTCACGAAGGTAGTCTTTCCACTGTACTGCAAGCCGACGAGAGTCAGTTCCATCTCCTCCTTCCAGAAGAGGGACTTGAACCAGTCCAAGATCCGATTAATAAGGGCCAACATGTTGAATTACGCACGGCCAAATCCAGGTCCGACCGAGAGGTTAAAATGGAAACCCCCTTCAAAATACGGCCGCTCGTACCTTTTGACGTATAGATTTCGCTGTATCCGCCAGGGGTACCGTCGGGATACGTCAGACTGTCCGCCGCCGAGGGCATTGAAATTGTGCGATTCTAGACGTGGTGCAACGATTGCGCAAAATTAGCGACGGATTGCGCGTTCTCATTGAAAAAGTGATCGGTCGGTAACGTGGATATCGCAACATGGCGACGGCTGTGAGAACCGACTTTATTCGAGCGTGTCGACTCGCCTTTCTCTCCTTTAATTGTTCTACGGTCATGTCGGCCGTAAGTTTGAATTCAGGTTAATCGCTGCGAAGTTTTTATTTGTTTGAGAAAATGTGAGAAGGGATTGAAGGAAGAATGAAAGAAAGCGAGACACTGTACGTTTAGTTCTGGAATCGATCTGTCTGAGTAGAAAATAAGAAGTCTACGTGATTTCTCGGCATACTTTCAGCCTTATGTAACTTATTGTGTATATATGGCTCATCTGTGATTTATAAATTCACCTTTGACGTATTGAAATAAATTTGTCAGATTATTATTTTGTTAGTAAAGAATAGACGACAAAAATGTCGATCGACTTATGCGAGGCGAAGGAACATTTTATCGAACTAATGCGATCGTTAAACAGAAACGATCAACAAAAGTTTTTATCCTTCATTGTAAAAGAATGGGAGATAGAACCGCCTATATTTTACGATCACACAGGTATGATAATATGTTGTCGAAACGATTTCACGATTTTGAAGCAAAGTTGCTTCTTACTTGAATAATTGTTAATAGGAGATGATATATATGACTGTGGTAAAGACAATGACACAGATTATCCGATATTTATGTTAAATACTATTGTTTCTGATATTAAACAGAAGGTCCCATTCAATGCTATATTGCCATCTGAAAATATCATAAAACCTTCCTCAGGATTGGTATGTCTTGTATCAATTAAATGCTACGAGTTACAAGTATGTGTAATACATTCTTTTTTCAGAATTCAGATTGTGACTCCAATATAACGTTTCACATGGACCTGTTCCTTTACGATGATGACGATTTGATCGAGCTTGAGAATAACGAGCAATTACAAAGATACTACTGTCTTGATTGTGGGTCTAGAAACATAGAACCGTTAAGTGAGTAAGGAGTTTCTTTTGATTATACTTAATTCATCTATTTATGCAAATGCAATATTTCATGTTTCAACGATATTTTCAACTTTAGTTTATATATCACACTCCATATCACGGAAAGCGTTGTGTTACATGTTTAAAACGTGTCTACCGAAGTTAAAGGACAAAACCATACTTGATGTGGGTTCAAGATTGGGTGCAGTTCTCTACGGAGTAAGTGTTTTACATGAAAGAAAAATTGATTATATTTAGTGATTTAGAAGAAAAAAAAAATTGGTTATATTTAGTGATTTAGAAGAAAATCGTGCTTTGCGTTAGGAATTTTTCCAACACTTGGAAACTTCCTTTTCCACAGGCGTACGTCTATACAGATGCCCCGAGAATTATCGGCGTTGAAATGAACGAGGAACTCTGCAATCTTCAGAATGATATTACACGCAAGTATAAGATGGACGATCGTATAACTGTTTTTCACAATAGAATAGAAGGTGTGCCAGAGGTAATTGAGGAAAGTGACGTTATTATCCTGAATAATCCGTTCGAATTTTACTTACCTGAGGATGTACAGATAGATATATGGAAGTTTCTGAGAGCTACAATAAAGAAAGGGACGATCCTTGTCACTTGTCCATCCATCGAAGTGACTTTTAAGACTTTACAACTTGACGATTCAATAGAAACGTGGTTAAAACCTTGTGAGAGATTGTACTCGAATAAATTCCCTGATTTACATATCACGAATGGGGACGAGTTTTCTAACATGTCATGTTACGAAGTCCTTTAAGCAGTTATTTGTAATTACGATGTAATTACAAGACACAAGTTATGTTTTCATTATATTCCCTTGTCTATAGGTTTATTGCAGTTTTATTGAATGTTGCTATGAATTAGAGTGAATAAAACGATGGACAAATAAGTCTTCTCATTGGTTGAAATCAACTTTTGATTTCGCTTGTTACACGAGAGCGAATATATTCGAATGTATATCGATGTGTCGGATAATTGAACTGGATTAATTTTACAATTTTAAGTAAAGATGTTGGCGAAAATTTAAAAAACACGGTGGAAATAAAAGCGACGAAAAGTTCCTGGAAATCACTAGATAGTAGCACTAGAAGTGATTCAGTTGGTCATACTAATGAACAGTCACGGTGCACGAATATCCTAGATTGATTTCGTTGAAAATGTTTAAGCGTAGCAGTTTCAACGTTCACCTGTTTCGTTCAGCTATATCACAGCGCTGCACCTTCTTTACTTAAAATGAAATAGAAATGCATATATGAGACTTGGCGAGAAGGAGACGGAAAGAGTGAAATTGGGAAGGAAGTGCACGGAGTGCAGTTGAAGAGAAAAGAGATCCGATATCAGTATTGTGAGAGAAAGAGAGAGAAAGGGACCACATTTTCCGATATTATTTGTACATGTATATACATCATGGCACACACAAACACTGTGACTCTCGCTGCATTTAACGCCATGACTAAAATATACTGGGAAAAAAGAATGGTTTTGCAAGGACAAATAGCGACGTTAATTAGTATTTGCTTGATATAATCCATTATTCGCATGCTGTGTAGTGCACAGTGCTTGCACGAGCAAGGAAGTACCGAAGAGGTTCTCTCTCTCTCTCTCTCTCTCTCGCATTTTTCCCAGTGGGGCTACATGTACACTGTCAGGTGTACGGATCTATTGTTTTGATGGACACACAGCATAAGTCGTCGCATCGAGAGAACGTGCGAGATTGATAATCCAGCGAAATGGAGGTTAATTTCTACCCATCACTGTAAAATCAATGTCGGCTAGATACGCTCCTCAATATGAATAAGATATGTGTGCGTAATGAATTAGTGAATGTGTGTGTGCGCGTGCCGAGTGCAATATATGTGTGTGTTGTGACATTCTCTAAATCCAAACGTTTATATTTCCATTCGATTAATACAATTTACGGTCATTTACGTTGCACGAACTCGTTAATAACGGTCGATGAGAAATGAATCAAGGTTTTTTCACTCGTGTAGAGGGATTTAATTTATTCGATAAAGTAGTGAAAGTTTCCTTGTTACTCAACTACACTGACAACTTGTCTGACTGTGCGTTAACATAAATCACTGGCTGAACAACTTGCTTACAGATGGATGAGTGTTCAGTTGGTGGAGACAGCCCAGCCGAGGAAGATGAGGATGAAGCCTCAACCCACGGCTCTAGGAGCAATAGTAGCAGTAGTAGTATAAGCGGCAGTAGTACAACAACAGACAGCGATGAGGACAGCGCGGAGGAGCATGCCACGAGCAGTAGCGAGAGTCACAGTTCCGGAGAGGAAGACGAGGATGAGAATGAGAACACGGAATACATAGTGAATATGGACAGTCCTGACGCTCTTGTAAGATTCATATTCTTAGCATTAACGTGAAATTGAATCAAGTGTTATCATAATACCGCGTGACAACAAGGGTGTATTGATGAATTTTCAGAGATGGGAAACTTGCATCGCTGCCAACACTAAAGTAAAGCTACCCCAAGATCTTTGCGAGCACTTCAGTATCTTTAAGGAAATGCTAGATTATCCGCGCTTATGGAAGGATTGCCTTACCGAGAGTCAGAAAGACACGTTGTATAATCTTCTACCGACTTTTCCGAAGGATTGCAATATAGAAGCTGAATTGAATAAGTCACTGCAGATGCTGTTCAATAGAGAAAACGACAGGTATTCACTCCCGAGTACTTTTCGCGAAGGAACGACGAGTCTCGCTTCTCGAGTGACTCGCTTAACTTTGATTCGCATATCCCTGCACACTCGACAGTGAAGTATTTTCTGTAATACGTGTGTATTGTAGATTCGGCGTATCGACGTTGGATATATTTCACAATCACCTCTCCGCCGGTCACTATCGTCCCGACATTAGAAGAATGCGGACCTTGGTGCGTAAGGCACAGAAGAGGAGATTGCTGTTCGAGGCGCGGAAACGGTCGTACGATTTGGCGAGCCAGCTGCTGAAGTCGCGGGAGAGCTTACTGTCGAACGCCTACAAGCAGGGCTTCAGCCAGCCGGCGAGCCGAACGGTGTCCAAGCTTCAGTGGCGCAAGCCGAAGCCGGTGATGGGTGGGTATACTTATGTTTATAAGACACTCGGGGGAAGAATTACGTCGTAGATGCTAAAATCTAGTTGTTGCGGCCGAAATCAATACAGCTGATAAATTTAGGCCGCGGTAGCAACGACATCAGCTGTCCCTGTTTCCATTCCTACGGCTAATTCTTTCTCCGAGTGCGCACTGCAAATTATTTTTCCGACTGTTTACACCCCCTCCCCCTCCCCACCCCACATATACACACTTCAGTCGTTTGGAAGAGATGTAGTAACTTCCGAGGGACAATAAAATCTAACGCGCAAAATGAATGAACAGTTGAAGAGAAGACCCAGTTGCGCTATATGGAGGAACTGAACGCGGTCCGGTCGGAGCTCGGGGCCAACACGAGGCTGTCCGCTGACACGACGTCCGAAAACGAGGAGAATTATCCGCATTATCCGTCGTCCGGCGCGAAGCAAAAGCGGAAGCGCCGTTCCATCATGAATTTCCAGGGATTGTCGGTGAGAGGCCTGCAGCTCGACGACGAGACGATCCGGCCTGTGTTCTCCACCTTGCAGCGAATGGAATACGCGCCGAGCAAGTCGTTACTTCTGCGTGAACAGACGGAGGAGACTTACCGCGCCATGCTGATCGCGCATAAGAAACGGCGGGCTCGTTGTGACGTACGTACAGCTTCGTCGCCCCCGTTGCGATTATTTCGCGTCGATCTCGCGGCAAGAAGGAATCGGCTCTCCACATAATACAAATGAAATTTCCTTATCGGAGCCGTGGCAGCTAAAAATGAGTAACAACTAGGGACAAAAAGAATGAGTTGAGTCAAAACTAAATTTCAATTGTACGGATGGCTAAATTTTACCCTGTGGGAGCTACTTCTTCCTTTCCGTGTTACTTACGCATCGTGTATTCGCTCGGACGGGAACGAAGAAGCTGAATTTGAACACGCTGACGCAGGTTCACCCGGAACTGAACACCCAGGGGATCGCGCTCGCCGACCTCACGCAACGCTCGCAGGTTGGACAGAAGAGATTCTCGATGGGCACGTCTATGAGAATCACGCCGGCCAAGAAGCGAATCAAAGCGGAGCAGAGCCTGCTGCCCGCGCCGAAATCGATGAACTCGAGCTCGGTGAAGCACGAGAGCGACAATAGCGATTACTCGCACACCACGGACGACAATAGGCAGCCTAATATCGCGGACATGGACTACAATAGAATAGCGACTCCCGTAAAGATGGAGCAGGTCGACCCGTACGAAGCGCATCACTTAGCCAAGAAGAAAATGTAATTATATGTCTGCGTGCTTGACACGCCCCGTGCCGGAGAGTTTCGCGTAATTTTTCAGCTCAGTTCACGTGGCACTGTTAATAGATCGCACAGCAAAACGTGCTATAAATATTTTTACTGTACGCCAGATGGTATTTTCAAGAAAGCAGATAGTATAAAATATTGTGCGTAGCGTTTTTAGTAATGAAAATCACTCATGACTGGAATGGAAATTGTGTACCACATATGAAACGTGTTGATTTGACTTCCCGGTTGACTTGATCTCCGCGTCCTTCGTGGGTTTGTCCCCGACGTTTTCGCGAATATTTCATCTCGGGGAGAGGAACGACCAGTTTGTTGAAGCGTTCACGAAAACAATGTCGAGAACGAACCCACGAAGAACCAGGTCAATAACTCGGAAGCCAAATTATTTCTCCGTCGCGAAAGCTTAAAATGTCAGATCACGCGTGCATGTTAGTTACAAACCTTGTGGGACTCTCACACTTTTTTCATTCGCAGGAGTCCGGTAACTCCGAAATGCAGCAAGCCGGCGATCATGACGACGCCGGAGATAAAGAAAGAAGTCGAAGACATAGAGTACGACGAGGTGAAGACGGAACTGAGCTCAGGTATAAACGAGGACATGCTGGCCGAGACCGAGGAGGAGGAGGAAAACGAGACGAAAAAGGAGCTCGATTTGGACAGCATCGACATGATGCAGATACCGATCCAGCTCGACGACGGGATCGATATACTCGACGACGTCAAGTAAGCTTGTTACTGTTATTCCTGTTATCGCTTACTTTTATCCATAATCACACATCCGTATAATGTTACCTCCTTTTTTTTATTTTCATTCATAACCGCGCCATCCGTGTAGACCGTTAAGTCAACAATCGAGGTATTTAAACCGACATGTCGTCGTCAGGTGTGAGGACGAGGCCGTCATTTCAATACCGGAGAAAGAACTGACCGTTCCGTCCGGTGAGAACGCGATAGACGTGAATAACGGCGCGGAGCTGATGCAAGAAACGCACGCGTGCTTCTTCTCGCTGCTGCGAGACGCCTTCACATCCAAGGGAGAATACCGGATGAGCACGACGGAGATGAAGGAAGCGGTGACGCAGTGGCAGGGCAATCCTATCTCCCCGTTGAACGACTGGTACGCTCGACTTCATCGTGGCTAATGGCTGCGTTCAACGGAGAAAGCAGAATTCGCGACTATCGTAAAATACGCGAATCCGATTGGTGGTGTGCTCTCAATCTCGGTTGAATTTAAGAGCATGCACCAATCAGATTCACGAATTTTTTTTACAACGGTTGCAAAGCTGTTTTCTCTGCTGAACGTAGCCAATACGTGCGGAGGGTATTTGTTGACTGTTATTAACACGATCATATGTCGTCACGTAGGTATTCCCTGGCGCCTTCGTGGCCGGCGTTGGTGCCGCTGGCTCTGGGATTTCTCGCCGGTGAATTGACATACTCCCAGGAGCTGGACCAGCGGCAGGAACGAGAGCAGGAGCTTGTGCCCTACTTGGAGAACAAGGGTCGCGGCGTGTACGCGTGGATAGGCGCAGGCCGCGACTCCGACACTCGATTGTCGGATCTCTGCGCGAAATTCCTCATGTACAAGTACGTGTCGTACCTTCCTGCATCGGTTCATAGAGTGGCACGCCTTTATCGAAGGCAAACAAATTAAAGAATATATATAAGTTACTTTTTACATAGACAAATTTACCCAGGTATAACTTAAGTAAGTCAATATACGTGTGATTGGTTAATTTCTTAAGGTTTAAAACAACTACTGCAGGCCGGGGCTTGTTTAACCCGTGTCGGCTCTTAGCGGCTTCAATTCTATCTCGATCGTACATCAGAGAGCCTTATGAGATTCGCAAAAGTTTCAGACAGAATTTACACTTACAGAGACTCGTTGAGTCCGCCTCACACCACGAGCGCGAGCTCAGTGGCGGTCGTGAAGCCGCAGGCTCAGCAGCTGCCGGCCCCGGCGAACAACAACAACGCGACGACGAACAACAGCGCGACCGTCGTCGGCGGCTCGGCAGGCAGGAGTGGAAGTCCCGCGTCAGAGACCACTACCGTGGACACCGGCACCGTCGGCACCGTCGCCGAATGGGAGCCACCCCGCGCACTCTTCCCCACCGAATGGAAGGTCCGTCCGTCCACGGCAGAGGAGCGCGAGGAGTTCCGCCGGCAAGAGCGTATGCGTTACGCAGCGCCCCACAAAGCGTTCACCTATCGCATGCACGGCTACGCGTCCGTGGTCGGCCCGGTCAAGGGGATCTATCAGCACAATGTCGGTATGTTTCGCGGTATCGCGACGGCCATTCGGCGGTCGGAGCTGCCAGATCGTGGGATTTCGGGATAATTACTCACGCGATTCCCAAAAATCTCAGCACTTGGCCCGTGCTTTTTTAGCTGAATTGGCTGCTTCGGTTCAAGAAATATACGTACATCGAAGCATATAAAGCGTACGAGATCCTCGTGTTTCAGTAAATGATAATTTATGTAAATAATAATTTGTGTAAATTTCTTGAACTAGTGCATCTAGTTCAGCTAAGAAGAGCAGGCCAAGGTTGCCGCAGACCTGGAAAACCGAGGGAAGTCGTGGGAATTTAAAATGCCGGAAAACCTGAGAAAGTCAGGGAAGGATGTAGGAAACCTGGATTTTCGACCTTTGCTCGCAATTCCCGCAAATGCTCTCGACTGTATTCTTTTTTTCCAATACTCATTTCTTTTCATTGGCCTGAATTTACATTCAGGATTATGTCCCCCTGGCATGCGAATCACGACTCAGAAATCCCACGATCTGACAACTCTGGCGGTGGGTGTTCCTTGGTCTGCTGTTTTCAGCAGAGCCGGCTTGAACTGGCTGAAGAAATTTTCGCACACCGAAGCGTGGTAATCTCGTACGTACGCTTCATACGCTTCAACGTGTACGTAAACTTGTTAAGCTAGCGCGGCTAGTTCAGCTGAAAGGAACAGACCGTTTGATACCTCACGGGAATTCTCTTCTCTTCTCGTCGTTCCCGCGCGCGGAATCAGGCTCCGGACCGACGAAACCGCGAGGCCACTCGCTACTGGTGGCGGACCGGCCGAACTTCGTGACGATCCTGGCGTTGGTCAGGGACGCCACCGCCCGACTACCTAACGGCGAGGGGACCCGCGCTGATATCTGTCAGTTACTGAAGGATTCCCAGTACATCAGAGAACAAGGGGACAACGACGACAAGGAGGGCTATCTTCACTCGGTGGTGTCAGGGGCTCTAGATAGATTGCATTACGAAGCGGATCCCTGCGTGAGGTATTACCCACGCCGTAAGGAGTGGCTGTACCTTCATCGAGCACGCTCGGAGTCGGAATTTGGTTTGTTCTCGTTGATCATTCATCACCAACTTGTATGGCCGATCACAGTAAGGTTGCAACAATTTCTTTTGTAAGTTTCGGAACTCCTCTCTCGTGTCTAATTGGAGAATTTGTTTTTCTTTTTTAGTTTACGGACATGCGCAAATTATTAGACTTTGTAATATATTATTAGACTACATATTATTAGACTACATATTAGTACCGCCGGCAGGAGTAATTCGCAATAAATTTCCGCAAGTTTTGCATAAATAAAATTTGAGAAAACGGACCTATACAATCCTATAAATATGAGAAGATGCCTGCGAGAAATGTATTCTAATTCCGAATACAAGAAATATGTTCTAATTGGAAAGATAATGAAATGTTACATAGATGAACAGAAAAGTATTGCAGTTTTAATCTAATAATTTGCACACGTCTGTAATTCTCAGGAGATACATTTTCCCACCGGATACGAAATATGTTGCGAAACTCATTGGAAGGAAAACATTGTATCCTTTTTTTTTTTTACAAATGGTGACTCGTTGCGTTTGCTTAACGACTTCGCCTTGTCCCTTTCCTCCCGTAGAAATGTATCACCAGCAGCTACAAGGCGTCGCGAAGAACAAGAAGAACGTCGGCAGCGCGTCGCGCAACAAGTCGCTGCAGCCGATCCTCAAGTCGGCCAACATGAACAAAGAACAGTCTGCGAGTGCCAAAGAGACCAGCGCTAAGAAGGAACGGCGAACGACGATGCCCGCGCAGGCTGTCGCGTCCAAGTAAAATCGCCCGATCTGAGAAGAACGCACTTCTGATAGGGAAGCACCCTGAAAATAACACTCTGTAACTTTCTGTTTCAGGAAAGAGCAGCGCAAGGCCGCCGAGGAGAAGATCGTCAACGAGCACCCGGTTTCCGCCGAGCAGTCCGTTAACACCAACGTCGAGGTGGCGGTCAGCGCGGTGTCTACGCCGACCATTTCCATCGTCGAATCTCCCATCCCCGTCGCCTCGCTCTCGAGCTCCTCGGGCTCGGTCGCCAGCGTAGCCGTGGAGCGAGACAGCATGATGCCGGCCGAGGCGAAGTCGCAACTCGCTCCGATCACGACGGTGAAGAAGGCGACGAACGTGGGCGGCAAACCGGTCACCGTCGTCAAGACGAACGCCACGCAGAGTCTGCTGCAGTCGAATCAGCACAATTTCCCGCATCATCAGATTCAAGTGTCCACCTCGGCCGGCCTGCAGACCATCCGTCTGTCCGGGCACTCGGTGTTGCAATCCGCCCAACCGGTCCCAGTCAGCAGCGGCAACAGCGGTGCTTCCAACGTGGCGAATGGAACGGCGAGTCTGTCGACGATACTGCCGTCTGCGAAGGTGCAACAGCAGCAGCAACAGCAGCAGCAACAGCCGCAACAAACCATCGTCGCGAATCAAGCGGGGAAGAGTATTCTGCAGACCACCAACATGAAGCAACAGCAGACGCAGCAGCAGCACGTGTTGCCGGGCAAGACCCTGTTGGCCTCACAGATCAAATTAGTTAGCTCCAGTCAGATTAAGTCGTTACTCACGGGCCACAGTCTGCAGGGCCAGACTATATTCATCAAACAGTCCTCGCCATCCGCCAATCAGTCGCAACAGTTGCAACAGCAGCAGCAGCAACAGCAGCAGCAACAGCAATTAAAGGTATCGTCATTGACGCACTCTCTCGTTATCCCCCCTTCGCGTATCACCCGCTTCTGTTTGATTTTTTAATCTCCCGATCGAACAGCAGCAGCAACAGCAGCAGTTGCAACAACAACAGCAGCAACTGCAGCAGCGAGTCGTGGCCAATCAGCAGCAGCCTATACAGACCTCCGGGATGCAGCGCATCATCGCGCAAATCGGTGGGAAGCCGATCGCCGTGCAAATACAGCAGTCGCCCCATCAGCAGCAGCAGCAGAAGATCCTCGCGAAAGTCCTGACGAACAGCAGCGGCGGACAAATTATATCGGTCGAGAGTCTGCTCGCGCAAAAGGGACTAAAACTGGCCACCACCACCGGTCACGCTAATCAACTTAACAGGCAGGGCAAGCAAGTGATACAGGCTCAATATCAGGTAATCGTGCGTCGCACACAAAGGAGACCTCAGCTGGTTTATTAAAGTAGAATTAACACGAGAAAGTGTCTCAATATTTTGTAGGAAGTAAGGCGATAATTATTGCCACTTTGAATATATCTTAGAAAAATATCGAAATATTTTGTTAACAATAAGGTAAAGGTGAAGAAATTACATTTACAAAAAGTGTATATATATACACACACACACATACATGTAATATAATATCTTATATTTTCACAGGTTGTGCCACAACAGCAAGCGTCCTCCGGTCAGTCGAAGATAATAGTCAGCACGCAGCACCAGCAATCTCAACAGGCGCAAACTGTTCGCATGGTCACCGCTCAGCTTGCGGGTAAGCCGATCGTATTGGCCAGCGGTAACAAGAACGTCGGAGTCGCGGTGAGCGCCAGCGGCGGGAACGTGGTGTTGGGTAAACAACCGACATCCTCCCAGCAGCAGCAGCAGCAGCAACAGCAGCAGCCGCAGCAGCAGCAGCAACAGACGCAACAACCGATCATCTTGCCGAGCCAGTTGCTCAATATCAAAACGTTGCACGGACTCAAGGTGATACCAACTCCATCCGGGCTGAAGACCGCCGGCGGTGCTGTGTACGCCCGCGTGATCACCCCGACGACAATAGCCTCCGCCACGCAGCCTCCGGTGAATCAGCAGCAGACCCTTCAGGCGCAATCGCCGAGGAACACCTCGTATGGTACACCTTGACAGGATTGATGTTCTTTACGTATGTTTATGCTTGATCCGCTTAGCGTCGTTCCTTTCACTGTATTTGTACATTGCGCGTCCTTTAAATTGAAAGTTTCACGGGTCTCGAAATCTCGATGGTGTATTTCGGTAAGGATCATATCGAGTGATATTATACACTGATCGCACTTCGTTAGTTTGATAGCTGCCCTAGTACAGGCAGAGGAAACGTTAAAGAGGAGGACAAAAAAAAGAAATGAACGCGTAATGAAGATAGTGGAATTTTTTTAGCGATACTCAGAATTTTTTTGCGGCACAGCTGCGTCAGTGATTTTGGATCGTGAGACTCGCCGGGGAGTTAACGGGAATCGCGCGGATGATTCGTACGGCTCATGTACAGATAAATCATTTTTATAGAGATTCGTACACGACACGTTATGATGAGCACGTAATATGATCCCCAAGTCTCCGACGCTCATCGTCCAATGTACTTGACGAAGCTGTCGCGGATTCTTTATCGTCTACCAAATGAAAAATAAATCGGATAGAACTGTCGATTTATTTATAAAGCATACCGTATATTATTAAGTTTATTTTATCATGTATCTCGAGAAATTGTGAAACGTAAAAGTTAGCATATAAATAAACTTGCATATAACGTACAGTTTGTAGAGAGAGAGAGAGAGAGAGAGAGAGAGAGAGAGAGAGAGAGGAAAGGAGGGCGAAGATACTAATAATGTCCTATTAAATGTGGTATTATAATGCTAACAGTCGTGAGATAAACATATACAGAAAATGACGCTAATTAATTTCCTCCTAAGAAGTAGATTTCGATATTTTTTTGCGGTGTACTGCAGACACACATACACACACAACTCATACATCCGGTTGCTCGAAGATTGTGTCACCGGAAAAAGAACGGTCGATTATATCGAAGTAAATAGTACACATCGAGAATTTTGTAAGTATATTATTTTATTATAATATTCCAAGACGCGTATATGTGATTACATTATAAAGCATTTCCAACTAATTACATATGTTTATAATCATGTGTCACCTATAACCATTACCTATATCGAAACAAGTAAGCAACCTTTACAACGAACCTTTACAAAAGATTGATGTATAGCTATATTACAGGAAATCTTTAATTTCGTAAATTGTGTCTTAAAGAGAATGATATTTGCTAAACTGAAGTTTTGTTTTAACTGGGAAATTTTTTGTCGAAATTAATTAAGATCACGTTCAACCGAACTCGTTGGAGAAACTCTTCTTTATTCGGGAGAGAACAGTTCGATAATGCTGATTAATAATATATCATATACAGTATGTTTTGTAAAAACCAAAATATAGGTGCCTAACTCATCAGGAAATAATAACCGAAATAATCTGGCATCTTCTCACCGAGGGAAGAATTATAACAATCATTAAAACAAGAAAACTCTCCGGTAACGATCACATTTACATAGGATTATACATTTCCGCATAATACAGAACTGATCTCATCTAGGAAATTACCTTTGGAATCTGGAACGACAGTTGACGCTAGTTCGGGCGGTAAACGACCAAACTTTTCCATTTCTTGCATAAGCGACATTACGGTCTCAAAACGATGTTGTTTAACATCCTTTGCGTCGTCTTCTTTTTCTTTTTCCAACTCAGAGCATACCTTATTTATGATACAAATATGTTGAACCTTATGTTGATCCAATAATATACATAATTATATTATTATTATTATTATTATTAACATACCTTTTGTAACAATTCAAATTGTTTGGTATAATTTTGTAGATCTGAAGGGCTCAAAGTTGCTCTGTGTTCCTGCAACCAAGCGGGATACTTCTCCAACACTTCCTTTAATGTTGGATAAAGTATTTCTTTCGACAAAAGCTGTTGCATCATTCCTTGCACAAAAGACAACACATCACCACCTTCGCTATCGAGAGATGTTTGGCCAAGCATAGCTGCTAAGCAATCAGCATCACCCTGAAATATTCATTTCATCTTTTTTTATTACACCTTGACCTTGATCTTGTCAGTAAGAATAATATTCCAAGCTGATACATGCTGTATCATCTTATAACAGTTAAGTTACCTGTAAATTTTCACTTGGCACTGACAGAGACTTTAAAACTTGTGAGATAGCTGACTCAAATTCTGCGCTGATATTGTCTTCCCCATCCGTTGTATTGCCAACTGACGCTTGCTCAAGTTTTTGAAGAACAGATTTAAGTTCATTCAATTCATCATCACCTAGTGATAGATCCCTGCAGTAATACACATATGTTCCCTTCATATTTCATTATCTTACCATTTTTCAGAGTTTCTGCAAAGTTCTGCAAGTTCTTATCCATTTGATCTATTGTTTGTTTAAAAAAGTCCTCTGTCCAGTCTTTGTCACTTTTCTCTGACGTTTCACATTTATCTGTTTGCTTCTGTAAATCTGACGTGGTTGCAGCATTATCATGTTCCATATTTGGCACCGGGAGTTTATCAAAATCCGCTAAAGCACCTTAATTAACGAGAGATCTAAAGTTTAGATTATATAATGAACATGTTATAACAATGGATTCAAGGTCTCTGACAAAATGATAAATTTAATTGAATGCTGTTTATTCTATTACTGTTAAGAATACTGAAAATAATCTACATTATGGAAATGACCATTCTTTATTGCTTGCTGTATCATTTAGAAACTTATCTCACAACTGTTTAAATTGAATTTATATTGGCTCTTTATGAGGTTAGTTAGATCTTTTTGATAAAATGAGGTAGCATAAATATACTTACTGTCGAGTAAATCGTTTAATTCCTGACTTTCAACTTCATTTTTCGTTTCTTTGGCGTTGTCACTCATATTTTCGTGATTGTAAGATGCTATAAGAACTTGAATTCCTTTGTACACCTTTATAACGACGGCACTTTCTTTTACCAAGTGATTGAAATCACGAATAAAAAATAGGTCGGAATCGATGGTTTATACTGGTCTACATAAATATCTCGTTAAATAGAACGAAATAATTTTTATACTTGAAGTTGACTCCGGTTTCGAATTAGAATTTCAAAACCAAAAGCAAGTTGGTCAAATCAAAATTGCTTCGCAATAACATTCGATCATAGAAGTAAAAAGGCAACTGACAGACGTGAGTTGTATTTTTAGATGAAATGGTCAAAGTCGAAGATAAAGAACAAACGAATCTGATTGGTTATGTGTGTGATCCATTAGATGCTGCAAGTGCTTTGAAGCGCCGTACAGATCAATCATGGCTTTTCTTTGGAAACTTCAGAGCGTTTGCAGCGTCTAGTGGATCGTACCCTACGTTAGATTGTATCGAAACTTCGATATATCGAGATTAATCGTTCTTAGAAATGCACCAATCAGAATGTAGTACGATGACCCCAGGTCGAGTCAGCAAATCGGAAATGCCATTATCGTTTCAATCAAACAGTGCACTATTTTTCCTGCACTAGTGCAGAAAATTTAATCCGAAAAGTTAACCTAACCTGATAACCCTATGAATGAACAGATCTATATTTTTACAGCTGCACTAAGTTTATCAAAAGTAAAATAGGTGCGTAGTTGACGCTTGTTGGAAGAGTGAAAATAAAAATATTACAAGATAGTTTAAAAAAATATAAACAAAAACGCCGAAGGGTTTGCCGGGCCTCGGTTGCTCCGCACATGCGCGGAAGAAACCGATGGCTGTCAACACTGGTTCGCAGTTGGACGTTGCCGGTGATAGGTTATCATGTCCCGTTATGTATCTGTTGTTTACAGGACAACATGTTTATTCACTCATCCCGGAAATTCGAATTACCTCATAATACCGGAATAGCTATGCAATAACTCTCGCTTATCGGGAATATCATGAGAAACAAACCGACGACGTACTTACCAGGTGAACTGCTCGCTGTTACGCACATAGACAATGATTGTACACACGCACAAGAAAGGCCGAACATCCTTTTGACGAAATATTTTATAAATTTTCAGCCGTATCGCCGTCCCTTTCGAGTTGGATAATCGTGATTTTGTCACTTTGTTTTGTTAACAGTTATGACGGGGACTTTGTTTTTGACGATGCTGAAGCCATTGTCAAGAACAACGATGTGCGCGACACACCATTGTGGGAAATTTTTAAAAATGACTTCTGGGGCACCAAATTGTCCCATAATCAAAGCCACAAGTCCTACAGACCTTTCACTACCTTGAGTTTTAGGTAGTGGGAACCTTCACGAAATATATCGCAAAGATACCTTGGAAGTCACAAGAACAAAAACATCTGTTTAATGCATGCCGTTGTGTTTGAAATATTAGTTGAATTCAAAGTATATTTTTTTACGTTCTTGTAACTTGATTAAATACAAGTCAGGGGACTTGTTCAATTAAAATCAGGTATTCCTCTTTTCTTTCTTACAGATTACATTTCTGGTTGCGACAAGATTTAGTCTCGCTAGATTATCATGTAGTGAACATAGTGTTGCACAGTGTGGTTTGTCTGTTAACTTTCCTTGTATATAATGTATTTTTGGGGCCTGAAGGACAGAATGTCTCATTCTATGCCGCTGCCTTATTTGCAGTTCATCCAATTCACACGGAAGCTGTCGGTATCTGAAATATACTGTATACTTAGGATTTGTTCACAAACAAAGGTTTAAAGGTAAATCTGACTCTACCTAACATTTCAGGTGTCTGGAATTGTAGGACGTGCCGAATTATTATGTACATTGTTCACTTGGCTGTCAGTTTTGTTGTACAATCACGCGATATATGCGAGGAATTCGTTACGAAAATGGACCGCTATGCTCGGTTGTGCTGTTTGCGTAACCGTTGCGATGTTATGCAAGGAGACCGGTATCACTGCCATTGTGAGTATCAAGATTGCTCCGGTTTGAAAATCGAAACTTCTTCAACAACCGTGGAGTACCGTCTGTTATCCTTTATCTTGCAGGGCATTTGCGCAATGTATGATATAGTTATAGCGAACAAGATATATCCAATCGATGTGATTAACTTCCTCCTGTGCAAAAGTTCCGGCAAGTATTGGAACGATTTAGTCAAACACAGAGCCACGGTATTGCGGCTCGCCGCGCTGCTTTTGATCGCAATAATGCTCCTGTCGTTGAGACTCGGTGTCATGGGGTTCTCCACTCCCACATTCCTACCAGTGGACAACCCGGCATCTTTCATGGACAATATGCTTCTTCGTATACTCAATTATAACTACATCTATTGTCTCAATACATGGTTACTCATCTGTCCCGTATGGCTTTGCTTCGACTGGTCAATGGGTTGCGTACCCCTCATCACCGGATACGACCACAGAATTTTCACAATTGTGATTTTCTGGATGGTGTTCGGCGCGATGATCGCGTACACGTTTATACCTCGTAAGGATAAATCTGCAAGGTATTTTGCAAAAGTCTTGGTGAGAAGTTCGAATGAAGAGAATCAAGTCCTCAGCATGAAGTTTTGAACAACTTTTCCAGATACATTACAATGGGACTAACTATACTGATCATTCCGTTTCTGCCAGCCAGTAATATCTTCTTCAGCGTTGGATTCGTTCTGGCAGAAAGGATACTGTACATTCCTTCGGCAGGGTATTGCCTGTTGGTTGTTATCGGCTTACAAAGGTTCGCCGCCCAATTTTCTCTGCCTAAGGCACCGTTATTGGCATACGCGATGCTCATTGTGTTGTTGTTCGCGCGTTCCTGGGTAAGAAGCAATCAGTGGAGGAACGAGAAACTGCTGTTTCAATCAGCATTGAATGTATGCCCTTTGAATGCAAAGGTACATTATAATATTGCGAAAAACGCGGCGGATGCGGGAAACATCGTGCTCGCTAAATTGGAATATCAAGAAGCATTACGGTACGCGTCAGATATTAAGTATTAATTTTACATTTGATAATTCGGCAATCATATATACGCTATCTGTACTATAGGTTGAATCCAAAGTACGTCCAAGCTATGAACAATCTTGGCAATTTGCTCAAAGACAACGGACAGCTTCCAGAAGCCGTGAATTTGTTTAAAGAAGCCATCATTTTGCAGTAAGTTTGATGACACAGTATTTAGAATGTACAAAACGACTTAGTTTACGTCTGCGTTTCAGGAGAGACTTTGCTACAGTATGGATGAACTTGGGCATAGTTCAATCGGCACTAAAGCAGTATGAGGAATCAGAGGCGAGCTATTTTACAGCTCTGCAATATCAGCCAATTTATCCGGCTTGTTATTATAATCTAGGTGTATTAGTGAGTAAACATACATACATACATATATATATATATATATAATCAACTGAAAATATCTCTGAGAATATTACATCGTGTTTCATCAAAATTTATTCTAACAGTATCTGGAACGAAAACAATACGACAAAGCGCTGAAGGCTTGGGTGAAAGCAGCCAAACAAAAGCCCACGCATAAACAAGTATGGACGAATATGATATTATTGTTGGATGACTTAGGTTTGTATGCAAGTGGGAAATTGACCTGTGAATCTTTGCGCGTCTGTTAATTATGTATACACCTTGCAAAGACAATGATGTTTGTGATTTTAGATATGACAGAAAAAGCGTTGAAAACGGCGAACGAAGCTTTAAAATTTATCCCAAATCATGCTTCCGTCTATTTCAACATCGCCAACATCTTGGGGAAGAAGGGAAGATTTGAGGAGGCGGAAATTCAGTTCAAGCTGGCAATGTCGAAAAATCCTACGGATCCTATGATCTACGCAAACTTGGGTAGGTGCGACGGCAGAACGTATTTGCAAGAAAATTCTAGGCGAAAATATGCAAAGTCGAGCTAAAAATGTCGGACTTTTTCGTTTAGGCGTTTTGTATCATCGTTGGAATAAACTGAATGCGGCGGAAGAAATGTACAAGAAGGCATTGCAGCTGAAGACAGATTTGCACAGTGCAAGAGATAACTTACAAAAGTTATACTCATTGAAGGCGTCAATAAAATAATGGTTTTTAAACAAGATAAACACGTGTCGTGTATTTTCTGTATTAAACCAAGCTTGTAATAAGTTTGTCAATGTCGCGTGTTTACAGGAAGACTATACGTATTTTAAGATTACTCATTTTTGATATTTCTTCGCTCGAGCTCCAGCAAATGTGGGTACCTATACGCTTTGAAGTTCCCAACTTTCTTGCCGTCGATATAATTGTACGACTTGAAACAATTCTCACAAAAGTAACTCGTGTCGTGCGGTATTCTGTCATGCTCCGTCAAGATCCAGTGCACGTTGAGTATCCCACACATGGAGCAATTCTTCCCAGTGGTGGGTTTTATCTTCTCTATTTTCGGGTAGGTGGATATCAACAAATCATCATCCTCGGTCACTAACCTTGCAGTATTAATTATAGCCGTTAAGAGATAATTTTTCTGGAGATTGAAAAAGCTGTGGTGCTCAAAGGATATGCCGATTCTTTCATAAAATAATATCGGTGAAATTACCTAGCATCGGACAGTACGATCAAATGCTCGCAACAGCCCTGATGTATGTACACCCACGGATAACCAAATCTCGCGCAAAGAGAATCTACTCGAGTGTCTTCCATCCTTGCAGTTTTAAATGGGCCCAGCCTATTGTTAATTGCCGCCCACTTTATTATAACATCACTGTAATCGTCGTTGTTCGCGTCTCTCATATCGTTGTAAAAGGTATCTTCGATAAAAAAGAATCCTGACTTATAGACATCCTATAATAGTAAAAAAAATTAGATTATACATTTCATGTGCAATTATCATGTAAGATATCAAGATGACACTTACTTTTGCCAATTTTCTCGTCTGTTTATCTGGATTCATACTAACATTTGTCATAATCGACAAATCAGATATGCACGTTATCTTCTTGCGAAGTTCGGTAAGATACTGACATCCTAATATCGATATGACAGATTTAATTCGAAGCATTTCAATAGTAGGTTTATAATACTTGCTACGATGTGTAAAGGAGTTAAATGGCTTGTAAACTTGAACGTAAACTAGAAAATCTAGGCCTGGTGTTACATTTTCGATACTGCTTTCCAATTTGTCATATATCTAAAAAAGAATAGTTTGTTATCTCATGTTGCTACTAATAAAAAATATGTACTACCTTAATTTCAACAACTCTTGCTTCAATTTGAACATATAACTGCTATCTTAACTTTTTTTGATATAATATCGCAAAAATAGTCACTAACAATTGGAATTCCACTTTGAGTATTATACTTCTGTAACAAGGTGATGTTACATTTCTTCAGTGCCTTGAGTGTCTCTAGTTGAGTATTATCTGAAATATTTTCAAGACATTTATCATGTGCTTTATCTCTGCTTCCTTCATCATTGACACTTTCTGCTGTCCTTAAATTATTGACACTACAAATTTTATCTCACCTTAACATTAATTATTCCTAAATTTCAACATAAAATTTTTTAAAATGAAGTTTGTTTAACATATAATAAGGTTTACCACTTGTAATAATACCTGCAATAATGTGACATTAAATCTAATCTTGCTTTTGAAAGTCCCACACCCATAAGTTGAAACATCTTTTCATCCGTTGATTGCTCCCTTTCGTAGCATACGGAAGACTTTAATAATGTACTATAATTCGAGAAATAATCTTTCGGAGAAATCTGTGGAGATGCTTGAGAGTTATAAAATCCATACACTTTATCCATTGTTACATCTACAAACAGTCAGTAGATCTAAAGTAGAGGAATAAAAATTATGAGAGAAAATATTGATATTATAAAATATTAAAAAATGACCATTACCTGAAGATATTTCTAATTAATCCTAACAGAATTATCTTCTTAGGACATGTAAACAAGCAATATTTACACGATCTTGTGCACTATGTATTATATCCGTTCCGAAATTCAAAACGTTTTCTTCTTTTTATTTTAACTTTAAGCGTCTGAGAGAGTCGGATAAGAAAAAAATCCAAGACTGTTGTTTGTTGATTAACTTTACGTGCACGAATTCGATGACAAAACAGGGTGCAACATTTTCCCCTCGAATGAGTCTTGCAACGTGGCTGGTATCCAATCGGAGAACTTGCCTCCTGCGAATCACTAGGAAATACGCTCTTCTATTGGACACTGAGTGAGCATCAAACTCATCGAAAGCAACGGGTATAACCAAAAGGAACACATGTGCGCTGTCGAGTGTAGTAAGTGACGAGCAGCAATAATATCAATACAAACGTGTGTAAGGAACCGTTGTGGACATACATTATTGTTGGAAGAAAATGTTGCCGGCAACACCGAAGGATTCAGAGAAGGATGGAGAGAATAAAACTTTAATTAAAATCGTTGAACGTCCAACGTTCATACTGAAAACTAGAGAAGGGGAAAATAGAGCTGTTTCGCCGAGTCAACGTAACGGACATAACAAGTATTGTACCGTTATATTTTTTTTTACCCTTGCTAGACAAATTTTGAATCAGGTCGGACAGAAATACTCGATAAAGTAACAATAAGAAAATATTATTTCTAATGAATGTTGTTTATGTCAGCGATACCGACAGTATTTAACTTAGAAAAAAAAAACACCTTATATTCCAAGGTTATATATACTAATCTTTTGTCTGGCCCTTTATCAGTTTCACCTGACTTTTATCCAGTGACAGTAATAGTTTTGTGTTTTTGTCATGGAAAAATTTTCGCTGTTAATATCCTATATTATAAGTTTGATAATTAAAAATATTTTTTGCATACAGTTAAATTTGTAACAGTGTTCAAAATAGATGTTGATCTATGTGTGCTTCTTATATAGTATTTCTTCATAAAAACTATTTATTTAAACATTTATATTTCCAATATTGTTCCACTTATTCTCCTTGGCTCTAGTTGATATATGTTGTTAACTATTGTCACAAAGTGTATAAAATTTAATAAATTATCTTATTTTTTTTCTTCTTATTTTTAGAAAGGATATTGATGTAGCAGCAATAGCAAAATCACAAGAATGTAAGTAAATTACACGTAACAAATATCTAACTGATATTAACAATATATCTGTTATATTTTATAGCCTATCATGTTACTGTATAGTAACATATCAATATTATCCAACAAAATAATATTAAAAAATTATGCATTTCAGCAATTCGTATACTTTCCACATATCCTGAGTTGATCAATTGTATCAAATTCATGGATGAAAACATGCAGCTGTGTGAAAATCCGTTAGAATATCTGTATGATCAACAAGACTTTCTTGTTGTTGGATGCTTAGGTACACAAAGTGTTGGCAAATCAACAATAATGTCCTTGTTAACGTCTGAATATGCGTATGTAACATATCACATTCGTAGTACAGATATGCTTTTATTAGTTTTAGAATTGAACTTGCAGTTTAAGAAATCTTATTTTGTACTTAGGCCGGACATCTTTCCTGTTCAAGATTTGTCGCATCACGAGAGCGCTACGAATTGCACCAGTGGAATAGATATATTTATAACTAAAAATAGAGTAATATATTTGGATACACAGCCGATTCTTTCCATATCTGCATTCGACAGTTCTACGTCGTCGTTCGATCAAAAGAAGGCCGCCTCCGATTTCACAAGCACCGAAACCAACTTAGAGCTACAATCGCTCCAATTTATGGCATTCCTGTTCTCAGTATGTCATGTTATCATATTTGTGCAGGATTGGTTCGTTGATCCGAATTTGGTGAGGTAATTATTAATTGGCTGGAAGAAAGCATCCGACGATCTTTTTTGATCAAGTAACACAGTCACACGTTGTGTTTTATAAATTTGACGATCAATAATTAGAATACCTTAGATATTTTTGTATATACATTGAAGGGTTTTACAAACGGCCGAAATGTTAAAGCCATCCTCGACAACCACCATGGATCAAGATTATGTAGAATATTACCCGCACCTTGTATTTTTACACAACAAGGCAGAACCGGGAGATTTTACGCCGTCGTCCATCAAGAGAATGAAGGTGCTTTATCGAACATACAGTTCATTTCAAAATATATATTTCAAGATACATTTAAAAATATAAAAATGTATACATCGGAGGCTTATCTGGTATACTTGATTCATTTTCAGGATTTTTATAATAAAACGTTTTCTAGTTCAAGATTGCAAACCCATAGCGGTATAGATATGAGTCAGGATTCGACGGAGAGTGGTTTAAACTTATTTTTGATGCCAGTTTTGAATAAGACCAACCAAGGTAGGAAACGCGAAAAATCAAAGAATATAAGTGTGTGTTTAGGACATTTATAGAGAAATTGTATGTGCTAAAATAATATTTGACATCTATTACAGACGAGGCATTTTTTGGAGAAAGCGAAAAATCTCTCGTAGACAAGTTGCGACGAAAGATACACGGAGTAACCAGAAATCCTATGACACCGTCCGTATTGACCGAGAAAAACTGGTAAGTCAAACAATATTCAATGACAGTATACGTACAAATTAACTAAATGTATGTGTACTAAATGTATTATGTATAGATCGCATGTGTGTATTGTATACAAAATAATACGTGTTCTTATCCGCAGGTACCATTACGTTTCGAAAGTCATGGAAGCGGTGAAAAAGAGCCACTTGTCTTCTGAATATGGAAGATTGATGCCTTGAACGCAAAAGAAAACACACAAAAGTACGATTTATTTGCTTTATTACTTTGTTTTTAAATAAATTATAACATTAAATTAAGATATTTAATGCACAGTTCAAATATGATACATGATAAAGTTTTTAAGAATAATCTATTCCTGCCATTCTTCTCGATTATTCATAAGAACATTTCTTCAGAAATAAATAGAATGTGTGGTTTCTCATTTAACTTTTCATTTCCATTTAATGGTCTCTCTTCAATTTCCGTCGTTTTATCTGTGAATTTTCTTTTCTCCACTACAGTTTCGTCCTATTTACGTGTCTCTTCGAAGGTAAAAAAGAAAGATAAAACTGACTACCCTTTTAATCATAAGTTATCGTCTCTGAATATTTTTCGCTTATGAGTAATCTTCTTGTTCACTGTAGGTTTGCGGCATGGTTGCCATTTGTGCAACAGCTTGCAACTGCTGCCATTGCTGTTGTTCCGCAACCGCCTGCTCCTCCCGTGCTTTAGCGAACAGTGCCTGTTGTTGCCGAAGCAATTCCTCCTCCGGAATCCCGAGATTTTCCAATCTAGTGCTCTGACGTCTCCTCTTAGCTGCTACTGCTTTGCAATCTCGCAGCACAGCCTCCGCTTCCGCGTTGTAATCACCGAAGCCTAATTTGTCAAGCGCCTGCAGTACGTGTTCCGCGTTTATCGTTTTCTTCTGCTGTTGATTGCAGATCTCGTTCGCTTCCGAGGATAAGAGATGGATGAACTCGGTGCAACAATTGAGAATGAGTTCTCTGGATTCGGTCCTGACTCGCACATGCGGCAGGATCTCCTTGATCATTTTGTTTATGGATGCGCGAGGGAGAGTGAGCTCGTCATCGTCAGTCGGAGACATCGCACCCGAGGCCATTTGGTTGCTGGAACGTTAAATAAAAGGGACAAAATAAAAACGATGTTATCACGAAATCTCGGTATATATGTTATGATCTGCGCGATAAATATGAATGCGTTGATTTTTTTTTTCCTCTTGCATTTATCTTCAACAGAAATCCAACACTTTGTTATCTCATATGATTTAATAATTATAATTACTGCGAATAATTTTGACTTCTCAATTTATTTATCTAGTTGTGGTTGTAGCAATTTTGCCACGTGTTATCGTCTTTGTGATAAAATTGCGGGATGTAAGATTAGAAGATAAGAGCTTATAAGAACCAGATAACACCTTAGGTGGGATTTGTCTGAACATTGCGTTTTCTCATTCAAGTGAGAGGGAACACTACGAGAAATTCCGCAAAAGGGGAAGTCTTCGTGTTGGTTGAGCAGTTGGTAATAAAAATGTAACGTAACAAAACATAAGAATCATGCGGCCCGCTCGGATTATCTGAATGTACAACGATCGTAAAATGAAATGTTCAGACAATACAAATGGATTTTAATACATGGCACAGTTATTCTATCACTTTTGTATTCCAACACATGGGCGATAAGTCCGAAGAATGCGGTAACATTTGCCGGGATTGTAAACAACATCACAGTGTACGCTCTGGAGGACAAGAGTTCTCTTGAAAGTGACGATATGTCAAAATCATTGAAACTTAACGTATCCTGGATGCCACCGAGTAAGGGAAGACAACCTTCTTCGTACAGGTGCACTACTTAACTTCTTAATAATAATAATAACAACTTCTAAAGATTACAAAATACCAAATATGTATATGTTTCAAAACGTCCGTGCAAATGTGTGTGTGTGTATATGTGTATGTGCATTCTTGCAGTATTATAGTAACAAGTATATCAAAGGAGACGGACGTGAGTAGATCGGAATGTACAGAAAACTCGGTATTGTATACCGTGCAGAACGTAACTCAACTCAGCCTGTTAGTGCCGCGAGACAAATTGCTGAACAGCATGCCGGAGATGCAGATTCACCCGAATTGTACGTACAAGATACAAGTGCATGCCAATCCAAGGGCTAGACCTGGTGGAGAGCTGCCGGAGGTAAATGTGTAAACAATCGAGCAAACTTTGTGCTATAAATAACCGAGAAGACCGAGACATCACACTTGAGTGTGATGTCACGTTCACGAGACGTCCCATTGCGCACAGGTGATATACACAGTTCCAGAATGTGTGGGGAGCAGGTGCGACTGCACAGGAGCAAGGAACACTTTGCCCGTCCCAACGGTGAGGGCGATCCAGACGACGGAGAAAGTTATCATAAACTGGAACGTCACTTCAAATTCTAACGTTCATTTCTATGAGATTAGGTAAGAACTTTTATCTTATCTATTCGTTTCATCCCTATCTCTCTCCCCCCTCCTGTTTTACCGTTTTTCAAAATACACCGTATTCCAGCATTGGTGTGCCAATTTTAACGTCAAAAGAAGGACGCACAGTGTACAATATCACCCAAATAAGTAAAGTGAACGTCGCAACATATACTTTCACCTGGGATTCCAAAATTCACGATCAGTATGTAAAAGTGAAGAGCGGATACGAGATATTTGTGACGGCGACAGATCACCGGGGTTGCTTGGGTACTCGAGGAAATTTTACTGTCGTTACTGCAGGCGAAATCGCGACGTCCTATGAAAATATCATAGTAATATCTTTTACCGAGACGGGGAAACGCACATTGTGTCGGCGAGTTCAGCACGCAACTGATGAGATGTATTTATGTTGCAGTGGATATCTAACGGCGTTATTGTCTGCATTATAGTATTAGGATTTACCTATCTTTTTATTGCGATACGCAGAGTACGCAAGAACAGAGCTGAGTATTTAAAATTTTTATTTTCGGATAGTAGGAGACAAACAATACCTGAACTTTCCAGGTGCAAGCCAGAATGGCCTGAGGTAAGTGGGAGAGTACTGAAGGATGTTGAGCTTTTGGAAAGTTTATCACGGTTAATATAATTCTCAACACGGCTTGATATCTTCTTTTCGTTCCAGGAGGCATGCTGCGAAGTGCGTGAGAACGATGAGTTCGAAGTCCCGTATAAATGCATAAATCTCAAGTATGAGCTGGACAATGGCCAGTTCGGCAAAGTGTACTTGGGCAAAGGCCAGTTCGGCAAAGTGTATCTGGGCAGTTTGAACAATAATGTTGATACGTTGGTGGCCGTGAAAATGTCACAGTGCTCTGACGCGTCGAACGAGCCCGAAGCCCGACGCCAACTATTAGAAGAAATCCAAACGATGAAGAAAACTGGCCCTCATCCGCATCTAGTGAGCCTCATAGGCTGCTGCACTTCCCCGGATAATCCTATATGCATACTCTTAGAATACATGGAAGGTGGGGATTTGCTCGCATATTTGCATTCTAGAAGAAAGACAGAGTCAGACGCGATACCTCTGTGCGACGATGAAGAACCCGTTTCCAGGTACGTGAATATCATTGAAAGGGACAAATCCGAGGACGGAGATTTACAGCACGATACGATTGAGAAGCAGCAGTTTTTAAAATTTGCCCTCGATATCGCGAGAGGGATGGAACACCTCGAAGATACGGACATCATACACAGGGACTTGGCAGCGAGAAACATTCTTCTCACCTCTGACCTGACGCTGAAGGTAACTGACACTTGCGTCGCTACATATTTGTGTGAAAAATGGAACATTTGAGAAATAAATCTCAATAAATACACAGATGTAATTTTGCAGTGCAATTTCTAAATTCTACCGAACTTGCAGGTTTCCGACTTTGGCCTGTCGCGAAATGGAATATACGTGATAAATAATGTGGACGGCAAAGTACGCCAACTTCCAATACGCTGGATGTCACCGGAGGCTGTACGCGACTATACTTTCTCCTCCAAGAGTGACGTGTGGTCATTCGGCATCGTTCTTTGGGAAATCGGAACTTTGGGTGCATTTCCATATCCTAGCATACAAGACAAAGACTTGCTACGTTACTTGGCTCGGGACAAGTGTCGTTTAGCGCGTCCCGATACTACTTCTCACGACATATATGAAATTATGTGCTCCTGCTGGAACACATCGCCGCAGAAGAGGCCTAGTTTCGCGCAACTTGTCGTCGACCTACAAACACTGAGAGAATCCTCGCACTCGGCACACGAGACCAGTAATCCTTGTTACATGTTATCACTGTCACAATAGTTCGCAAAGTATTTCTAGAAAGTGGATTTGTACTTGCATGCATTATATATAGGAGACAAATTAAAATACAATCTGATTCTTAGGATAGGTTATAAAGCGTCTCGTATCGAACATTACCCGATCCACGTAAATTCATGCGACAGAATTTACGTTTCTACGTTACACAACGAGAGTTAATAATGAGAATACATATATATTACGTGCAATGAAACATAGTTTTACCAAAAGAACAGTACTCCAGTAGGATAGTATCAGTAGGTCTGTTCGTTTTCGCTGCACCACTGAACTAGGCAATAAGTTGAAATGAGAAAACATATACTTGTCTCGCTTCAACTTATTGCACTAGTTCAGCAGTGCAGCGAAAACGAACAGACCTCATAACATAGTGAGCAGCAAACCTTTTGTAATGAGGTCAGTTCAAAAGACAAGAATCTTGCTTTATCAGAGTTATTTTGAAATATCGGGCAAAGGAATCAGGCTTCAACAATCGTATAATTGGGTGAAACTCAGTGAAAAATGCAGCTGAATCGGCACCGTTATTTAAGAGCTTATGTTTAACACGTGTTTTAGCCAATATTTATCGATCGCTGAAACATATAAAAATGCCGAAGTAATCATTCGGAAGCGTTGTTTTTCTATACATTAAAGCGACGATCAGACCTGGTTTTACACACGTTTTTCAACAATAGCGAATAAACACTTACGTTACTCGATAAAACCTTATGAAATTTGCAATTAATTGCTAATCTTGACGCTGCACCCGTAATTATATGCTCGTAATACTGTTGCAAAAGTTCAAACTCCGCAACATGAAAACAACTATTTTACTTACACGTGTCATGGGTAGATTCGTTCTTTTATCCTTGTTTTATATCCAACAAGCGATAAAGATAGAATGACGTTTTAGTGCCAGTGTCGCCAAATCTCAAGAAAAAGAGTAACTAGTCAATATTTTAAAACCCTCAGGGAGAATTCACACTTTGACGGTAAAGCAAGAAAGCAGCGGCCAATCAAAACTCTCGCTGGTTATAATCAATAGATAAAGCAGAAACTACCAGCGCGAATTCTGATTGGCTGCTGCTTTCTGATTTTCCGTCAAGGTGCAAATTCTTCCTAACCAGTTCAGTTAAAAAGAACAGACCATAGATTATTAGTACTGACAGTGAATATCGGAACGCATTCTAAAGCCTGTATCGGACTACGGATTCGGATTGAGATTCAATTGAAATCTGGCCAATCGAAGCAAGATCCACTAAAGTTTGAGTTTAGCGACCTTTGCTCTGATTGGTCAAGTTTTAACTCAATCCTAATCCGTAGTTCGATACGGGCTTCAATGTCGATGACTCTCATGCTTCTATCCGCATCTTACAAAAGAAAACGGAACGCATCCTTGGTTGCGAATTACGCCAAAAGAATCGCTGCAGTCGCGAGACCGAAATCGAATGTGCGCATGTTCCCGACCGTTACATATAGCTGCCAGTGAAAATCTTTCGGTGACTGTTGGTGACTGTTGGTGCCTGTGGCATGCCATTTTAGATGAAATTGCGCGCAATTTGCTGTGACGTATTGCGAGTGTTGTGTGAAAGATACGTATTTTCATGCTTCGTATTTACATAAATTCCGTCTAGCTTTTTAACGGGTGAGTAAAAAAAGATCGAGTGAGACGTCGACGATAACAATTTAGCCGTTCGGGCCGTACTGAGGCCGCCGAAGTATTTACGGTTTTCTCTTTCCCCAGCAATGGAGGACCGTCGTTATTAACCAAGCGGATTCCAATGGATCGCGCTTGTTTTTCGCTCGAGCTGTAAGAAATGGAGGGATATCACGCGTTCTTGGCTTCCGATAGTGTTTCCGACGATACACACGTTACGTTGAAAATAGTCAATAGGGAGTGATATCGGGTGCGCTATTGTCAAGCGGCTATCGTAGACTCACGCGGAGCAACTGGTTGAGTCGGGCAGTGACTTGAATTGCGTTTATCCGAGTCTGTTGTTGGCTCTTTCTCCGATAACATTGGGTGAACAGTAATTATCAGTAATTATCTTATCGTAATCATCTTATTTGATCTGTTACAAACAATGAACCTTATTTTCTCACTAATCATATCAGTAACATTATGCATAACGTACGATGCCTGTGACGCAAGACTCGTTTTCATTTCAGACCGAGAATATCCGCCGTAGCTTGACGATCTCTGCGAGAATGTTCGGGCAAACTGGAAATACGTCGTTCAGTATGTTGTATTTGTGCATAAATATCACTCGAACAATGGAATATTAGGAAAATTGTGAATCTCTAAAGTTCGTCCTTCTTTCAGGTGGATTTAATACAGCAACGCAAAACAGTCCGTTCGGTCAATCCGCATTTGGTAAACCCATTACTACAACAAGTTTTGGTAGTGGCGCAACACCCGTCTTTGGTAGTAGTACTTCACTCTTTAATTCTAAGCCTACAGGTTCTACCACAGGTGGCTTGTTTGGCAATACCACAACGCCACCAGCATTTAGACAGCCAACTAGTACCCAACCATCTTTTGGAGGTAGCGATTTATAAGCTGTTTCATTTGCATGTACAAAGTAAAGAAAACAAAAAAAAAAGAAAAAGTATTCTCTTTTTACATATTCTTCATTCGAGCACTCATGCATCTGAAACACTTTAGTTACTGTGTATCTTTCGCGACGACGCCATAGTTGGTTCTGATTATTGCTCCAAAGGTTTTGTTGCACAATTCCTGTGAAATTCCCGGTGAACCTTTTCTATACGTCGAGCGAATCTTAAATTAACGATCCACAAACGTAGGCACGGCAAATACATAAGTCCTGTGGGATGGTGATATCCGCGGCATGTCGTTAACTTGTTTCTTTTTATTGCAGGCTTCGGAACGACGAATACAAGCACCAACCTCTTCGGCACTCAGCAGAATGCGACGTCAAATCTTTTCGGCTCCAGTTCCGGAACTTCGGCGTTCGGCCAGGCGAACAAGCCTGCTGGTTTCAGCTTTGGCACGACGTCTGGAACCAATCTGTTCGGGCAACCGCAACAACCCGCGCAACAAACCACTCCATTCGGCCAACAGAACACCACCACGAATACGAATCTTTTCGGTACGAACACAGGTAAGAAAGCTGCAACTCCGATCAATCGCACATCAAATACCGGTTAGTGATATGAGAAGCTACCAGATGAGCTCACGAGATACTCGGTAGCTACATTATCTTGTATCTCCTCTCCACTCAGGCTTTGGTAACAGCAACACCACCACCACAGTACCAATGGGCACTGTAGTGAAATTCACACCTGTCGTAACAACCGATTCCATGTCCAAAAACGGGATATCGCATAGTATTTCGGCCCGTCATTGTTGCATCGTGGCTATGAAGGAATACGATTCGAAGTCGTATGAGGAATTACGTTTCGAGGATTATCAAGTGGGGAGAAAAGGTACGGTTCTGTTTGAAAAAGGTACACTATATGATACCCGATTTAACGTTGCGAGACAATAGGCGGAATACTTATTCATCGTTCTGTCTTCGTCAGGTCCGCAAAATACTGGTCTCTTTGGAACACCGGCGCAGCCATCGCCATTCGGCAACACAACGGCTGGTACTAGCACAGCTGGTACAGGTAAGTCGCACAATATGAAGAAGAATTCTGTACTATCAATACCGTTTTTTTTTTTTATCGCACAGTAGTCACAATTATAATTTAGAAGACGAAAAAACCCGATTTTTTTACATTTTTCCGTAAATCTTTTCTGTTTCTTTCTCAAGGATAAAAACATTCGTTTAGAAAGATTCACGTGCGTTCAGTCAAAACCTGCCATATTCTTTCCGTAAAGAAGATAATCGTATATACTAAATTGAAATTAAATGAGGCTAATATGTTTTATGTTAAGTAGTATCGTTGCTTTAACTTTATCTTAAGCAATGTCATCGTTCGACATATAACATGTCGACTTCGTTTAATTTCAGTTAAATACAAGCAATTTATTTTTTTTACGGGAAGAAGTAAATGTGGCAGGTTTTAACCTAACACATGTGAATTTTCCTAAACGAATTCGTTTATCCTTGGGAAAAGAAACCGAGAAGATTCGAGGGAAAAATGGGAAAAACCAGTTTTCATAACTATAGTTACACAATGTTTTTATGCGCTTGTAAAACGTACAAAGCGTTTAACGTATGTATTTCGTTCCTCGCAGGATTTGGATCGATGACCGGAGGATTCGGCACCACTAGCCAGTCGGGATCGACCGGACTGTTCGGAAAACCCATCACTAATTTCGGAACACCAGCGACTACAACCAACAGCTTTGCGTTCAATTCCACGTCCGGCACGAATCTGTTCGGCACCAACTCTCAGGCGAAGCCCTTCGGCAGTAAGTTACATTTGCACCATATAATGCAGCCGATTACAAATTCCAAATCTCGTAAACCGGTCAATTCAATGTCCGGTATAATTTTATTACCTAATTTTTCACATGAATCGTGCTTACCTGACAAATCTGAAGACACTTTCCAATATATCCTCGTATAAATGACTCGTGCTCTTTTAGCAGCGTGTCATCCAAATCATATCCCACCGTTCGCCTAATCTGTGTTGTCTTAGAAAAATATAAATAGTTTTATGCACATTTGTACAGCAGCTGCACCAACGCCGCTTTTCGCAACCAGCAATACCAACCAAACCGCTGGCACAGGTTTCGGCATTAATACCGGACAGAGCACCGGTTTTGGATCGGCGTTTGGCTCTACGCAGCCCAACCAGGTAATGTACAGGTGATATCCGATACCAAGTGAGAACCAAAACTATCCTAACACACGTTTGTCCACAGAGCATCGGACTGTTCAGTCAGAACAAGTCCGCCTTTAATATCCCATCGACGTCGACCAGTACTGGTTTCACTGGTTTCGGCCAAGCTGCGTCGAACAACACCACTACACCGTTGTTTGGCAACAAAACAACCACTACCGGATTTGGGACGACATCTACGTTCGGCACAGCTGCACCCTCGGCGTTCGGAACCAACACGGGCTTCAATTCCGGCCAGAACACCGGATCCTCGTTGTTCAACTCGTCCTTCAAGCCAGCCGGACAAACGTCGGGATTTTCTTTCGGGAACACATCCACATCCTCAACTGGACTTGGTGAGTTAATCTGGCTTGAAGTGTGAGGATTTTCCATAGTAATCGATATGCACGGTTAATTGATCGTTGCGATGTTGAGCAGGTACGAACACTGGTTTGAACCTGGGCGGTGGCACCTCGTTGTTCGGACAGCAAAAGCCAGGCAGCTTGTTCGGAAATACCGGGAGTAACACGACCTTCAATAATCCTGGATCTTTTGGAACCTCTACTTTCGGAACGAACTCCAATATGATGTCCGGATTAGGAACAAATTTACTTAACGGAGGGTAACTCGATGTTTACACTGATTACTAGCTTTGTTAGCTTAACTAATTTGAAGTATGATTTACTTTTATAATTATTGTAATAAATTGACTAAGTAAATGTATACATTAATACATATATAATTTATTATTAAATTAATTTTTATTTTATTTAAAAATA